ATACGCCTGAATGAACAACCAGCAAGAAATTAAAAAGATAACACCGTGCCGATAAACAGAAACAGTAATTACACTATTATGTAATAATTTCCATACGGTAAATAAGTTTTTGCTTGGTTAACGCATCGCGTGCAGAAGAAATATGTATGAGCAATGCGACCAGAACGGTGAATAAACTCACAAACTATTTAAGCTTCTAAGATTAGCTAAGCTTGACGGTATGGGCCCTTGGAAAGAATTGCCTTGCAACCTCCTGTAACATGATTTTCAAGATTAGAAAGTCTTTCAACAGAGAGAGAGAGAGAGAGAGAGAGAGAGAGAATGGCATGACAAGGAATGGCAGAGTCATAATCCAAAAATTATTTCCACAGATGAAGCTTACAGATCTTGGAGATTTGTCAATGTCCCCATAAAGTCCGGTATTTTTCCAGTGAAATTATTGTCCGAAGCCCAACTGTAACCAAGAGGATCAATGGCGTGAGTACATAGCTTTAACGTTCAATGGAAATTATGCCAAAATTTCGAGCATCTGACTTACAGCATCCTTAACTTCGTAAGATTAGAGAGGGATGATGGGATCTCACCACTCAGCCCAGAACTATCCAAGTACCTGCCAGTGAAAATATGGAGCAATCATCTCATCTTCCTACTGAAGACGCCAGGCCTGAATAATTCATTACAGGACTAGATTTGAACTTTGCCATTAATGCATTATTGATTTTACTATAAGCAGGACTAGAAGCAGAGAGTGAACCACAAGAAGCAGGACTCACAGCTCCTCTAGATTTGACAGGTTTCCGAGTTCCGGAGGGAGTGAACCACTGAAGTTGTTTGTACCCAGCCCTCTGTACAAGGCAGAATAGATAAAGTTAATTTCACTGAAAATATAGCTGTACGGTGAACAGTCATATTGGGTAAAACGTCGTCAGAATCCTACGGCCACCATGTGACAGAGATGGAATTCAAAGCACCCAAAGCAATATAAAGATCGGCTTCCATGCGTATGGATCTTACGCAAAATACGTTTCCCATCAATTATTCATAAATATACCTTCAACGTCTACAAGAAAACTCGGTTTCCATATGTCATGTTTCTAGACTGAATTAATAGTTTTCCTTCCAATCAAACAGTAGGAACAATCTGACTTATTGATCATTGTTTATTATTCTGAACGAATTTTAGAAAGGTTTTTTTGTGCCACTGAGTCCTGACATGCCCATTATGTATAAAAAAAATACCAGCTAAAGGCATAGAAGGTATATGCATTCTTTTAACGTAATAAGACGTAAAATACCTCCATAAAAATCAATAGAATGCACAACCGTTGCTAAAAAGTATCATCTGGCCATGATCAGGGGACAGACAGTTCAATCGTGGAAAATAAGATTTTATCCATCAAACAGAAATTATCTAACTCCATAAATATTCAAATCATTTTTGGGATGCACTTTGAGGAGCGAAAAACCGGGCATAAAAAAATTCACACGCAAAGAAAAGCGGAGTCCCCAACTCTGACCAGCTAAGCAATAAATCAAACATCAAGGATAGGGATTTTACATTGCGACGAAACTGCTAAGTTGCCCCAGCTCTTTTGGGAGAGGCCCTGATAGTGCATTGATCCCAACACTCCTGAAAACGTGAAACAGAGCACGGTAGAGGTCAACCCCTTCTGCCCTGAAGAATGCTGATTACCAGCCTATTACTTACAGGCGCTGCAAGGATGTAAGGTTCCCCAAGAATGCAGGGAGAGGACCGGTCAAATAGTTCTGATCCAGGTTACTGCCAACATAGAAAATGGCGCATCGTCAGTAACTTTCAGTCGCTGTTTTATTCATAGGTGTCTGCATCCAAGGTCATCAGGCGAAGAACCAGATGCAAAGGGGGGGCATATACAGGTGGGTGAGTTGAGTCAGATTCTGGAGCTCCTCTGGTACGGTTCCGACAACATTGAGGGCATATATCTTCCTGCAAGATCAGGGCAGATAGACAGATCGTCATTGTCCCCGCGGCATTGAGACCTTGAGATGAACAAGAACGGGGGTACGAACAATCTAGTAACGCGACAGGGAGCGCCGTCATTGAAGTTGCAGTTGCACGTGATGATTGGGTTGTTGTTGTCGTAGTTGCTTGCGCCGATCGCCAAGCCGCTGCACAGCTCGCCGCTGAGGTTCCAGCCGGTGGCTTGCAGGGACCAGCGCCTGAAGATGGCGTTCACCGCCTCGGCTGTCACCAAGGATCGGTGACGTTCACAAACCAGAACGAGTTAGCCTCACGATACTCGATAGAAACCCCAGCGCTTCTAAAATGCAGCAAATATTTCGGTCAAGCCCCATAAGCTTCAAAATGGACGGCGTAAAGCTTCGAACTAGCCAAAATTTATCTAGAATGGAGGTGAGCAAAGATTCACACGCCACTGCTGCCTAGAAATAGAAGTCCGACGACCGAAGCCCACAGACTTGTGCGTCTGGGCCAAAACAGTCCAGCGCCGATACCTTCTGTGTGCCGAGACAGGAGCAGGTTACTTCCACTCTGGAGCACTGTGAGGGCTAATCAGAGCATCCGAGTGGTTAGGAGAGAGATCCGTATCGCTGTGCTCGGTCAAAACAAGGAGAGCCCGCGACCCAACCTCTCCCTAACTTCCCGGTTGAAGGAACCAAGAAGGAGAAACTTGAGAATTACGACTGGAGTTTAGCGATCTAGGCATCCATCCTAATTCCAGAGAAAGCTGACGTACAGAGGCTGAACTCTCCCCCCCCCCCCCTCCTCTTCACGCAGTCAGAAAACAGGGGCATATCACAGAGCCTCACCTTCGACCGGATCGGTCCCAGTTGTTGTAGCAGGGGACGGAGCCGGAGCTTGAGCCTGGCATCTCCCGACAAGGAAGAGCAGCAGGAAAAACCAGAGACAGAGACCAAGCACAGTACGAGATGGAGGCTTTGCCGCCCTCATCTCTCCAATCGCTCCCCTTCCTCGGAGCCCTTCAAACCTGAAGCAACAGAGCCTCACGGATTCCCACGGCTCTCTCCTCCGACGCGGGGGCCGGCTGCTTACAGAGTCGGAGAAGGAGGGAGGGAGGGAGGGAGGGAGGGAGAAACGTATCACGTATCCGTGGGAGGACGGACAGGAGGAAGGCAAGACCCCCCTTAACTACGTCCCTAATCATTATAGGCTCAGCTGCCTCTGTTTTCATGCATCGTTTTGGCTTCAAAAGTCAGCCACGTGAGGAAGAAATATACGCGCCGTCGGGGAAGAAGGGCATTTAAATATTTCTCGTTTCGCCCATGCAGGCTGAGGTGTTCAATTTTACGAGGTAAGGGCCGGAACGTGTTCAACTTTACCATAGCGCACAGCGGGAACCGTTCAAGTCAAAAGGCGACAACGGCGTGTGGGCCAACGATGACGTGGTCGTCTCATTCGTCCACCTCCTCTCAAACGGCCAGAAAACAAGAACCTGAGACTCAAGGACTTTTGAGCAAAATTGACCCCTAGTTGGCTGGTCGTATATTTGAGAAAAGCTCTAGAGTCATCATTAAAGATGAAGTTGGAAGCTAGATTTTAACAGGGAAATCAAATTATTCTGACTAGCAACTTATGTGAAGTCTTCAGCAATCACAAGCCTTGAAACGTGCAGAAGTTCAAGAAATCAAGATCAATCAGTTGGCAACTTATCATCAAGAGGTCCATAGTGAAATATTTTCTTCATTTCTTTGTAATTATCACTCATGAGAGTTGATACCCATAATCAATCGTTTGATTTTATAAATCACATCATATAATTAGTGTTTCATTGAAAACTCAATGAGAGATAAGCCTTTATAACTAAAAGTAAAACACAGTTTTATAATCAAACACAAGAACATAGTTGTTTTGTTAAAATGTAGGTCAAGGAAATTGAACCATTATAAAAATTATAGTGTCATTTATGAGATCAATGATTATAAAAATTATATATAATCAATTCAACCCCCTTTCGTCTGAGTGTTGCCATAAAACGAATAATAAGTAGTGTCGCATTCTAACTCAATTATAGGTATGAAATTTCTATTAAGGAGCAGATCCAAAATAGTTAGGGTTTCTAGCTGGAACATTGAAGAAAGATCAGTTCACATTATTTACTATCCAATAGATCTCATTATTCTTTTTGAAATAATAAGATGACTATTTTCTTTCATTTGAATGATTATAAATTCTAAAAAAATATTATGAATAAGCCATTCTAAATTAATAATAGTTTTAATGATCAAAGAAGATATATTTTATCATTGAAAGTTTGTGCAAGGAATTTTTTGATTTGTGCATTAAATCCTAAGGAATTTAATAGAATTTAAATCTTTGGCATAACAAAGAAAATTTAAGATAAATTACAAGTTGCAAATGAAGAAAAAATCCAAATAAAAATTGTAGGATATAGATCAATTAGTGCATAAATATGAAATATTTCCCATGACATAAATGGAGTCCATTAAATGCGTTTGATCGCTTTACTGAAATCATAAATGGTATGAAATATTTAGGAAGAGCATACAACACTTATAATATGAATAGAATTTTTTTGAGAACACTTACTCCAATATGGAAACCAAAGGTGACTGCGAGTGAGGAAGATAAGGATTGGAGAAAAAAGTAATTAGATGAATTATTGGGTTCCTGATTATCTTATGAAATTGGTTTCAATAGGCCTTCATTAAATACGAAGAAAAATTATCAGAAAGTTGCAGACATTTAGATCTGCGGATACTAAGGAACAAGACTGATTCTAATATCAACGAAAGTCTTGAGAAGTTAGCTACGATTAGCAGAAGATTGAAGAAATTTATAGCTAAAGAGGGGAACTCTAAAGGATTTAGGAAACTCTCGAAAAATAACTTTTTTTGCACAAATATAATTATAAATGAAATCCTTTCTTTTTGAATGCAGGAAACCAAAACCATGTTAAGAATAAAACAATTATCGAGAAGGATAAAAAGAAAAAGGCTAATAATTGGAAACTTGGAGCCAAGAAGATGAGGTGTCCTCAGATTTTGAAATGAAGAAAATGCTAATAATTGGCTTGCTGCTCATGAAACAATGATATGTAATGATCTGTCTGAAAGAAATTCTCCTGTTGAAGAATTACAAGAATCTATTGGTGAAATTGTAAAGGTTTTAAGGAAATAAGGCATGATAAAGAAAATGACCAAATAAAACTTATCATTAAAAGAAAGTCTGCAATCAATTTCTGAAAAATATGATCATCAGTCTACTATTGATAAACAGATAAACATAAATAGATTTTAGATTTCCTCACATAGTAGAACAAAGAACATGGATTATAATTAGAAATATTAAATGCAGAAAAAAAAAAAGACGTAGATAGGAAGGAAACTTTAGAAGTACTGAAGAAAGAAAACACTGTACTAAAGACTGTAGTCAACTGAAGTTTAATCAGATGACAGAAACCGAAGATACGGATCTAAATCGGGAAGGAATCGGATATTTTATATGGCCAAAAGAAAGAGGAAGGAAATCCGTTAACATAAATACAAAAAAAATATCGTATTGTCAAGAATTTTCGTTATCTGAATGTACACACTGACGTTAGAGTACAAAAATCCACAAAAGAAACGAGTGATGGGTTACAAAAAATAATTAGATACTTTTATAAGCGTAAATCCTAAACGCAAATGGATTTCATATTATTTAAGAATTTAAGGAGACTCAAGTCTATAAATGGATGTTCAAGGCACAAAACATTAGAAAGAAGATAGCTAACCTCATAAATTAAGAAAGAATGAGGACAAGTAGCATATGGAGATATCAGGAAAGGAAGGATTATGGGATATCGTGATATAAAACTTAAAAATTACATCTTCAATAGATATTTTATGTATGTTAAGATATTAACTTATAATCTAATTAGTATAAGTTAAGTTTGCAATAAGTTTTGAATTTGAAGCATATCTTAGAGGAAAACAAACTAGGAAGAGTCATAAATCCAAAGACGTGATCACTATGAAAAAAACCCAAAGAACTAGTACTTGGATCTCTTTGGACTATCTTAGTTGGTCAGCTTTGGAAGAAAATAAAATAGATTTTTTATCGTTGATAATTATATAAGATATACTTGGGTACTTTTCCTGGAACACAGATAAAAACCATTAAGGCATCTGAGAAGTTCAGCTAAAAATTAGAAAATGAGAAATATATAAAAATTAAATGAATTAAAAGTGATCATGAAAGAGATTTTGAAAGTCCGAAGTTTATAACATTCCATGATGGCCAAGAAATTGGCACGAATTTTCATATAATAGAAAAATGGAAAACTAGTGGACATATTTGGAAATGTTTTGCTCTCGGCAATAGCAGTTGAGCAAAGCCAAGTGATAGTGAAAGAGGACATAATAAAATAGAACTAGTAGCTTTGAGTATAGTGACGAGAGATGGATCAAACTTACAGGAAGAAAGATGGTACTTAAGCTAGCCAACAGGAGGAAAAATTGGAATAATCCATTTATAGGGGAGCTACACCGGCTCAGAAATAAAATAAAAATAAATCTCACACGAGGAGTGGAACATCTGGCAACTGTTTCCAGTGTTCTTTTTATTGTTTGATCTTTTGCTCGATCAAGAAGATACAAGGGAGCATATGACTACAACTATTTAACAGATGCTCGAGAAAAAGGGAGAAAGGAACTGAAAAAAGAAGAATTGATAATATATCACGCATCTTCTCCATGAAAAAACTAAGACCATCATATCCCATCATCTTTTCTGAGAAAGAGAGCAGAAAAGCCCAGAAGAATCTGCAGCGATCTCTGCAATCTCACAAACTGGGCATATCTGACTTTGCACTGCTGGCACAAAATGCGCCCCACAGTAAGGACAAGACACATACTTTTGGCCACGGTATATGGGCACAAAAGTTGCAGCACATACCACAAAGGGGTTCCTGAAATCATAGTTTAGCTTATAGGAATCTTGTTTATCTCCGCTGGCCTGGATAACTTGCCTCGCTCTCTTTGCATGCACCTCAAGTGTTGGGTTGGTATCCAGCAACATTCTTGCAAAGTTGGCTGCTGTACTGAAATTTTCCCCCTTGAAGCAAATGGTCATTGCACTGACCAGTGCGAGCCTCAAGTGGCTCATCTGAAGTTTGCAGTTTGTGAAGTATGCTGCTAACTCTAGCTGGCGTGCCAGGTTATCTTTGCTCTCCTTTCTCCTGACCTCCATCCTTAACCCGAGAACATATTCCCTCGTAATCTCTATGAGTTCTTTCACTTCATCAACATCCTTTCTCTGATCTACAACAAGAAGAGGCATCGTGTGCAAAATGTTGAGGAACAACCGCAAGGCTTCAGAGAATTTCCCCTCTGTGGTGGCCTTGTAGGCAAGCTTAAGTTTCTCCTCCAACTGAGAAAACCTGAAAACAAGTGCTGGAGGGTGTCTCACATTAGAATCATCAGTCTCATTCCAGTCTTTCTCAAGTGCCAGTGATATCACAGGCGTCTGAGCAAATGAAGGCAAATAGGAAGAACTTCCGATGTATAAATCCATGAATAACACCTTTAATGGCGCAAAGTTCTTTATTCCCAATTGACGGCCTAGTAAGCGCATTGCAGTGTCAAAGTTGCCTGCTGCCACATGTTCACCAGCTAAGGATGACTGCTGAATCCATATTTGGCTGACAGGCATGCCAGGGTTTGGAGTGACAAAAATAGAATCGTAAGAACTGAGTGCAGCCTTTGGAACACCAACATCAGGTGGAAGTTCGAGATCTTCCAAGTCCCATCCTCCTCCTCCCTCATCAATTTCTTCATTCGCTTCAGCATCCTCAATACCTGTTCCAATGTCTCCACTCCGAATTGCATGTTCAATGTCAGGAATATCCAAGTCTCCGTCACCCCAATCTGCAACACCACCTTCTTCGTCGTCCTCGTGGCCAGACCTTCTAGCATTATCCACATCACCATCAAAAATACCTTCCATGACTCGCAACAGTGGCCAATCTCCAGAGCAAAGTAGTGGAGATGGTGGAATCAGGAGATTAGGAACTTTCCCGCGTGGCACAGTAGGAATGTTATCCCCCAGCTCAGTTGCAAGCCTAACCGCATCATCTGTGAATCCATGAACAGAAGCTGTGACATATGCAAGGGGCAATTGACCAGCAGCCTCCAAGATCTTCACACGTTCCTCTACATCACCCAAATACAGTGCATCATGGAACTGACCCATCACGTCATTCTTAATCTCCGCAATCTTCATCATCTTGGAAAGCTTTTCAATGTTCCCAGTAACAAGATACAGAAAAGACAGCCTTTCAAAGTTTTTTGTCCTCTGATATGCATATTCCACAATGCTAGTGTTCCCTTGCCGGAGAGCCTCAATCCCAAGCTTATACCAGAGGTCCTTCTCATCGATTTCCTTGGCAGAAGCAACCGCTATCTGGATGTTACCACTCTCAAGAGCCAAGTTGAATCGCAACCTCTCATCTTTGACAAAATGTAGAGCAACTTCTGGGTACCCTTTCTGTTGAAGATATGCGATCACAGCCCGCCCACAGAGCTGCGAGTTCCTGATCATACTCATGACCAGATCATATCTTTTTCTTAGGAGGGACAGTTTAAAAATGTATTCACTGGCGTCAACTGTTAAGACACCACTCTTTCCATCTCTATCCAGGAAATAGATATTGTTACCGGACACCCTTGTAATGTATATTGGAGCATCCAACGTTCTAATAATTCCACTATCGCCATTTGGAAGACAGTACTTTATGTGATTTACAGTACTATATATGAAGACGTTATTGTCATCCCAGGCACCACTTTTGACACGGATTGTTTCATTAAGTGTAGATCTGTGGACAAGTTTCTTGCTAGCTATAACAATGGCGTGTTTACTGAGTAAAGCAACAGCCTCTATGTCGCCTGACCAAACCACATACCTTACAGAAGGAGTCTGGAGTTCCGCAAGGACTGACCTTTGCTGAAGATCAAAAATGACGACCTTATCCTCTGCTTTGCACAGTAAATTCCCTGCTCCAGCATAAAAAATGGCATCAGCGGCAAGAGGGAGAGCACACTTCTTCACAACCTCATTGTTTAAGTTCTTCACAACGGCCTCGTTGGTTGTCTTGTCGAGAACTGCAAATCTATTGCGACCCAAGAAAACAGCTGAGGCCCCTGGGCCTTTCCTTCCACCCTGTACAGAATCATTCCTTCCAGTAGCACCCTTGGGTATCATAAGGAGTTCATAAGATCCACCATCCACATCAGAACACATGAGAAGAGCATTCTCCACAGGGTTGTAAGACAAAGTCCTGGGAGCCTGATTTAAACTAGTTGAACCAGGTCGCCCAATGGAAAGCACTTGGCTATCCTTGCAAGATGAGAATTCATAGAGATGAAGAAACCGATCTTTGCAGTAGTACAAAGAGTCCCCACTCACCGAGAACGCAGGGCGTTCTCTTTCTAGCTTAAAAACGATCATGCCACTGTCATGCCCAGCAGCGAGGAGATTCATCTCCGGGTGTGCAGCGAGTATCCAGAAACGGTCATGCTCACGTCGGAAAGTCTGAACACCAGTGCGTTTAGTAGCATCCCAGACACGGATACTTTTGTCCTCGGAATTAGAAATAATGATATCTTGCTTCTCATGGAAGATCACGCATGATACATTATTTATGTGCCCTCTTAACGTGTCCACCTCCCAAGCTATTGTATCTGCCAGAAAAAAGTTTGAAGTCAAATGGATAATAAGCTCCCCATTCTATGGTTATATGACAGCAAACCAATGCAATATATATGGCTTCATCAGATTAAAGGCAACTATGTTTCAAAGCCTAGCGCTAGCAACGTCTGGTAGAGAAAGATCTCACGGTAAAATGTAGGATCATCCTCAAATAGAAAGAATAGGAATCACATCAGGCTACTATCTTTAGGATGTAACATATGAAAAATTAGAAATAAAAGGAGAATATCAAAATAAAATAAAGAGAATGGTACTAACGAGGTTAATAATCATGTAAACGAGGAGAGGGAAACCAGAGGATCCACATTGAGAATGCTCGAGGATCTTCTTTGATTGAAGAGAGATCTAGGACAACCTGAAAAGGGCCTGAGTAAACCACGGATGCATCTGCTGGCATTGTGATCCACAACTGGGGTAGTCTCAAGTTGTCTGTATGATCAGCTATCAATCTTCAGACAACCCCAAAAGAGAGAATCAGTCATTTCTCTTGGAGAGATAGGTGGTCTTTAATAAGATGGTTTTCAGACGAGTACCCTTCATTTTTTTTTTCTCCCTGCGGATTCAGAGACTTGCCTTCATATTAGTGGACGTTTTCTCTCCCATTTCTAATGGCACTAGAAAACGAAAAAGAAAAAAATTCATATGAAAAGATGCATCCAAACTTATCGAGTGCCATATCACTCATCTGGCACCTCGTCGAGTTTTTAAAGAAAAAAAAAACAAGATAATCAGAAATATTACAGGAGAAATGAAGTCTCACTGATTACCCTTCATTCTCCACAGCTTCACTTGACGATCATCTGCTCCAGAAACTATGAGAGGAAGGGTAGGATGGAAAGAGGCCCAGTTAACGCCGCGGTCATGGCCTTCCAAAACATGCTTTACAATTGCTTCAGTGGCCCCAAATAAATCTGTGTTTATCTGGCCAAGTCCCAAAACGTCATCAACAGGGGACACCGTTTTTTTCCTCAGGGCCCCAATGTCCCAGACACGAACAGTTTGATCCAGTGATGCTGAAACAACAAGGTCCTCCTTATGATGGAATGATGCACACATGACAAAGTGATTATGTCCAGTTAATACAGCAACGCAACTCCGCGACTGCCAGTTCCATATTCTAATGGTTAGATCGTCACTAGCACTAACAATCCAAGGACATTCGCCATGAAACTGCACAGTGCGTATATAGTCAAGGTGTCCATGAAGAGTAAATAGGCACCGATGAGTCTTGTAGTTCCAGACTTTGATCCCGCAGTCATCTCCTGCAACACGAACGAACAGCTTTTCACGATGTTGTACAGCCACAAGAGATTCAGACACAACTTTCGTGGTTGATGCGTTCCAATCCAGAGAACAGGCAAAAAATAAAAAAGCCCATGTTAAGAACACCAATGCATCATGAGGAACATTAAGAAGTTATCAACCCATGGGAAATGTAAGAGTTGTGTGACTCCATCAACATGAGCACAAAGTAAGATTAGGGAGTGACGATAATGTGATGACTAATTATCTACACTGGATAAAGGGGAAATAATTTATTTCATGCCATATGAACATGAAAGGGGAAATAGCATTGATTAATAACATTGACTAGGTAAAATGCTCCTTGTGGATGGCTATTTTCAGGAAAGGCTATGGAGTCTGTAAGAAGGCCAACGTGTAAGAGTTCTGCAGGGCAGTGACCCCTGTAATGGAGAAATATTCGACATCTTACCGATCAGCCTGGTTTCTACCATAAACTCCTCGACTTTTGATTATCACAGTCAGTAACATAGGTCGCTCGCAGCATGTTTTGCGATCAAAACGAGGATAATGCGGAAAGAGACAAATCTCAAGCTGGATCTGATATGCGTGATAATTAACTCAATTTACAAACCATAATCGAGATATAGTACGAAGAACATGGGTCAGCAGATCAAGCTTCAAACCCGGGAGAGGAATGGAATGAATTCAGAGCCACCGCTGGGAAGGGAGGAAGGGGTGGGGGGGTGGGGAGGTTGGTCGTTCACCTCCGGAAACGAAAAGAGGCTGAGAATTGTGGAAATGGACACTGCGTACGGCTCCCTCATGCTCTTCGAACCGGTCGATCAGAACGCCCATACGGTAATCCCAGAGCTGGATCACCCCGCTGTGCAAGCTCGCCAGGATCCATGGCCGCTTACTGTGGAAACTAAGCCCCTTCACCCGGCTGCTCTTCGTTTCGAACTTGGTCAGCATCGTCTCCACTCCCTACTCCTCACCTTCACCGGTAGTCTCGCCTCAAAACCCTATCCAGCAGCCCGAAGCACAGAAGAATAGATCATAGAAAGAGAACAATGACGACGCAGCAACTGGACAGGCCCCGCGGGGGCAGTGAAGAGCAGGAAGGAGACGGGGATCTCTGCGAGAAGTATCTGAGATCCGAGCGGAAGGCAAAAGATTCCCACGTGGCTGAAGCCCAGCCTCCTCATCTTCCTCCAGTTACTTATCGAAGATCTCAACACCTCCAAAATCAGTCATTAGCGTCCGTTGATTATGGTGAAATTAGTGTCGGCACCTGCCAGTGAGGCGTGTTGGCCGTAGTTCAGTAGATTGTCTGGGTTGACTTCTTTGACACGAGGTAGTCCCCACCCCAAACAAGTATAATGCGTTGAAATATTTAGTGGTTGACTTTCTATTTTATACTTTGTGGTAAAGGTCGTCGATGTAGTAATTTGAAGTGGCCAACTAGCACAAAGACATCTGGCCTGATAGCTACATTGACTCAATAGGCATTGACCATACGAGGTGGATGATCTGGTCCCCTTGACTTCGCCCTTCCTCTCTCTCTCTCTCTCTCTCTCTTTCATTCTTCTTGCTTGGGGGTGGCTTCTGTCTGTTTGTTGGGAAGAAGCTGCATCAAGATAGCCATTGTCTGATGTAGGTGGTGAGAGAACTGCACATATCTCATTTATGGTATATTCGCATACGAAAGCTGAATAGCTTCTGGCCCATGGGAACTTCATGCTCAAAAGTTGACTTATCGTCAATTAGTGTTGAGTCGGATGTCAAAGGAGCTCGAACGATGTCGGGGGCTTTGACGAAAAAGTCAATGAGCATCAACACCAAAGAATGGAGAAAGGAGAGGTTTGGACTCAAAGTTCAATGAGACTCGACGAGGAGTTTCACAGGAGTTTAGAGAGAGAGAGAGAGAGAGATGGGAATGGCGGAAGAGGCTCTGAAGAAATGGCCGTCCTCAACTGTACTCATCTGGGTCGTCCCGGCTCTGGATGAGCGGGACGCCATCGTCTCTCCAGGAGATTCTCCCTTCGCAGAGGGCCTCCACAGCCTGTGTGTACAGCTTGTGCTCCTGGAACAAGAGAGACGCGAGTCAGAAGAAAACAGGGATGACCAAGAGGAGTGAGAACGAGCGCCAATATCGTCTCAGTACATATATACAGAGAGAGAGAGAGAGAGAGAGAGAGAGAGAGAGAGAACTTGGATTGACTCTGGCTCCAGCCCACTTTACTCTATGGAGAAAACCACCCTTTTTGGAGAATGGTAGGCGCCTGTGAAGCCTGGCCTAGGGAAGGATAGTCCCAGCCATGGCCCTCATCCATTTGTACACAACAACAGAGATAGAGAGAGAGAGAGACAAGGCGATCTTAAGACAGAACAGTGAGGAAGATTTTGGCGCCCGAAGATTTAGGCTAGGTCCCATCTCTTACCTCGCTGAGTACCCTTCCTGCAAGTCGCTCAGGAGTGTCATCTGCCAAGACTGGAACAACTCTCTGGGCGAGGATCCGACCAGTGTCGTAGTGTTCATCCACAAAGTGTATGGTGGCACCGGAATATCTTACAAAACGATGAAAAATAAGTCAAATAAGTCAACGGGCCAGGGTAAAAGTGGAGAGCGTCACAGATTAATGAATCGAACTCCTAAAGTGGAAACACCCGCATGAATCGACAGGTAAGATCAGAAGTGGTCAATCTTAATCCACACAGATTTTCAGTCTGGCTGAATAGAATGCCGCCAAGAACCCGAGAAAAATGGATCAAATCGACCAAGAACCGGATCCAAGTCAGGCCAGATTGGTCAAGAATCGGTTCCTAATCCCCCCCCACCTCTCTCTCTCTCTCCCTCTCTCTCTTACCTTGCACCAGACGCAATGACAGCTGTATGCACCCGCAGGCCGTAAAACCCTTTGCCTCCAAAAGCTGGAAGAAGAGAAGGGTGGATGTTCAAAATCGACCTTGGATAAGCCTGTATCAATTCAGTGGGTATCAGCTTCAAGTACCCAGCTAAGAGAATGAATTCTACACCAAATTCCCTGCCCAATCAAAGAACACCATCTCAGAGAAACTTGCTTAAAAAGAATAAAATAAAAATCATGAAATTACAAGAACAGACAAAATGCCAGCGATTAGATCATGATCCTTCTATATTAGCTGGAAAAAAATAAAAATCCGAATATCGTTCAATAGAGGAACTGAACATTTTCTGCAATTCAAATTACGTAAATCTAATAGAATTTCATCCACAAACATATAAAGGAATTTGGAAATGTTTTTCCATAAATAAATGGACCATCTATCTTAGCACAATGGTTTTTAACTAATATTTCCGATGTGAGAGTATTCTAGAATAAAATAACAAAAACAGCAACGTCTTCTCCAGCCTGTGCAAGCATTGGATCGTCCAAACCACAAAGACACTAGCCCAGATCATATATAACCACTGGATTTTGGTTATTGTTCATAACAAGTTTCATCAACGGGAATATCCCAAGGCTATACGCTACTCTGTTGCATATCTCTCAATCGGCAGGGAGGGATTTGAAAAGGTTTGACTGTGCAAGATTGTGAAGAACATCCGCCACCTTCAAAAACTATGTCATGTTGAAGATGGTTCTTTTATCAGTTTATGCATATTAGCCAATGTTACAACATCATACATCCAAACAGTTCGCGAAACAGGATTTTCCATGGTTCTTAATGTTTACAAAGGCCAATCCAAATCAATTGACCACAAAAGTGCCTCCAAGAGAAGAAAAAATAAATTAATGAGGGTATATTCACTCACCTTAGAGTAGTTACAAGTTCATCTGGAGATAGTCCCTCAGAGGACGATTTAGCCTTCGGATATATAACAAGCGGAATACCATGATCTCTTGCATGCTGGGCGCCACCACAGTCTGAAATTCATGTCCAAAACAAATTTAGCATGCAAACAAATTGAATTGAGAGAGAAACAGAGCGAGAGAGAGAGAGAGAGAGCTAGAGCTGGATAGGAAGTTGGTAGAGTAAATGTAACAAAGAAAAATAGATGTTCTTGCCCTCACTTGGCATATCTAATTATTATAAGTTCATCATTTTATAAAAGAATTATGGATTCCGAAGATACTCACGCCACCAATCACCAAACTTTCATAGAAACCGGAGTGCATTGGTTTAGTGAAGACCATTAATCTCAAGAACTCAGCATTGATAGAGTTCATGACTGGGGTAAATCTGTGCTAGCTTCCGAGAAAATCCCCATCATGGTTGTTGCCTGAGCTGAGGACAGCCCAATGAAGCCACCCAAAGGATGCTTACAAAGCAACCTATCCCTACCCACCCCACCCCTCAACCTTCCTTATATAAAAAAAGAAAAAAGCAGGAGCCCCCCATTCCTCTAAGACTTTGGCACTGAGAAAAAATCTGCAGACACGTTGAAGTTACTTGTTTCAACTAGAATCACATGGATGAATCTACTATCTCAAATGAACTATATCAGACCGAACAGTCAATCCCGATGGGGTTTCTGTTCTTGCCCACATCGCGTGGTTTTCTTCGGATTATGAAGGTTTCGGAAAATTTGGCCATTGAGAAATACCAAAATTAATAACTTGCATATACCTTTCGGGAAGAAATAATTTATGAAAAATCTCAAGGATCAAAAGAGGAATTTTCATAGGCTGTTCATAAGCAATCACATGGATCAACATCTTACCCAAGAAATCAGGCATTACTAAATCCAATCACGGAACCAAACACTTGGCTTCCTAGGATTGCCGCAAGGATCATTGCTAATATCCCGTAAATAAAACCCACCCATCAATGATTCCAAAGACGCTTATCCAAAGCCAAACCGGGAACAGCAGCAAGTGCATGATTTGGAACAACAGAATCTAATGCTATTAACAGACACAGTAGGTTCATGAAAAATACAGATTTACAATTTGGCTCCAATAAACATGGTAGATTTTTGGAAGCAACAGCAAAGAAGAATTCGCAAATATCATCACCATCCAAGTACAGACGAATAATTACCAGGCTTGTCGGTGACCAAAAGAACCACATCACCATTAACCGATCCGCGAACGGTGGCCACGTGAATGGAGCGGAAGTTGGAACCCCCACCGGAGACGAAGACGGCCAGCTTCTTCCTCGGAGAGGCATCATCTTCTTCCTGCCCACCCTCGCTCTGTGAGCCGCTGCTCTTGCATTTCAACATCTTCCAGCTTGCCCTGGAACTTTGGTAATGCAGTTCAACTTCGCATGCTGTCCGAGAGAGGCCAACGCCTCGAGGGTTCAGTCTCAACAAGGGGATTCTTCTGCTGGGTTGCGCAGACCCTGGGCAGAGACCCGGAGCAAGCCCCATCCTCGCGGACTCCATCGCCCACCGCAAACACAGACGGATGGAGGGTGCCCTCTTCAGCGGGCACGGAGAAGGAGGGGAAAGGTAGGGCTTTTACACTCTTCCCATGTCGTCTCCTCGGGAGAGCACCCGGCAGGCAGAGAGAGAGAAAAGCAGCCTTAAACCTCTCTACCGGAGTGGAGACGCGGACTCGTCGCAGTTCCACACTGATGATGACCGCGGAATCCGTCGGCGTTGTAAAATCCGGGATTTCCGTCGAGTTGCCAAACGCTGTCGAGAATCCAAGCATCAGAAAATCCCCTTTCGATCCAAAATCCCGTCCTTATTTGAGCCAACGGGCTCTTAACATCCAGCTGGGAGTGAGAAAACACGCCTAGCCTAAGCACTATCCTCTCTCTCTCTCTCTCTCTCTCTATCTCTCCCTCCTTATTTGAGCCAGGTCTTGACATTGTAAACGTCAACATGGAAGATAGGCATGCATGGAAGTGGGCGTCTTGTTTCGGGCTTTATCCATAATGGGCCAGACCTTGTGTTTTCCTGAGTCACTAGCACCCGTAAATAGTAATCCTGCGAGGAAGGTACTCTCTAAAAAACTAAATTATGAAATTACCATAAGAGTAACATATTCTTGTCTCAGAATTGTCTAGTTATTTTATAAATTTATTTTTTCTATAAAATGATAAATTAAAAAGATACGTAATTTTACTATTTAGTAATATAAAAATTGAAAACATTACAAATTTATTAAAATTGAAGGAATGCCCCTGTTTTATTTTAAAATCATGATTTTGCCTAGTATTTCTACGGGAGGGGCTAAAATGCAAAAAAGCCACCTCTGCGCCGAGTTTGAAACTATGAACACGAGACAGACGCAACAAGCGAACCCAACTCGTGAAGTCCATTCACGCCGGGGAAAAGAACCCGATTTTGTTCCCTTCTCTCGTCCAGAGGAGGAAATCAGATTTCTTTCCCCACCTTCTCTTCCTCAATTCTCTTCCTTGCCTTCGAGCCGCCGCCCCCTGATTCGATTCGATTCGATTCCACGTCTAGCACTCCATTCCCTTCTTCCTTTCCTCCATTCTCGGGGTATCGCGGTCTACTTCTTCTTCTTGTTTTTCTCGGCTTCTTTGTCGGGTCTTCTGGGGTGGGACATTAGGGTTTTGTCAGCTTGCTGGAGGTGATCGGGGTTCTGGATCAGTGGGGAGGGCACATGGCAGGGCCGGAGCAGACGACGGGGATGCCGGCGCCGATGAGCAGGGTCGAGAGGGCCCACAAGCTGTACCGCGAGGGGATGCACGAGGAGGCGCTGGCTTTCTACACGGAGGCGCTCGTGATGGCCCGTTCCAAGGCCCAGCGCATCGCCCTCCACAGCAATCGCGCCGCCTGCTACCTCAAGCTCCATGACTTTAAGAAGGTGATAAGTTCTTCTGGGTGTGTGTGTGTGTTTTAGAGTAATCGCATATTGATTGGGAAAATTATTCAAAATTAATATGCATTCTCCGCTCACAGCCTAATGGTTTTGAGCTGGGTGTTCCAGTTGTAGAATAATCGTGCATTAGTTGGGAAGATAAAATCTTATTGTCGAATTATATGACCCTGCTCAATGTATCGACGACTTTTTTGTGATCTGGAAGGCATAATCCTTTTTGTTTTCTGATCTGGGACTCCTTAGTTTCATAGATTAAAACTCCCTGCACTTGAAATCCTAATTTTCACAACGCGTTGTGAAAGTTGAATTGACAAAAATAAGTGCTCAGATTTCTTCCTCATTCAAGTATGATACCCATTTCCAATCAACAGCTCATTGATTGTTATGGGGATCTGGTCATGGAGAGATTACCGTTCTTTTATCTAGTTGACTGGTTCTGCTGGATAATATTTCAAAAAATATTAGACAATTATCAATTTTAATTAAATTATTCTAATAAATATAGAGTCTCAGTAACTAGCATGTACAAAACTAAGTTAAATTTATTTATTTATTTATTTTTTATTCCTTTTTCTACTTTGATGGTACTTTGGGTTCAAGATAACAGGATTTTTTCTGTTCCATGCATGATTTTTAGGCATATTTGAATATAATGGCCACGTCCCTTCTGGCCCCATTATCCCTCTTTTTTAAAAAGAAAAACTAGTACCAGATATGCACTAAATATGGAAGCCCGCTCAATGGATATTCGAAGGTTTCTTTAGGATTAACTATATGAAGTTACCTGATGGAAGCTTTTCCAAGTTTCTCCAGTCTGATCACACAAATTATTGAAATGGAAAAAAAATGCAGAATTTACCTTCCCACTGATGGGGTGCTTTCTTGCTTATGTGGGACCTCTTTGTTGATCTGGCATCACTACTGCATTGACAATTGGGTTGTCAATTTGTCTACTTCTTCCACAAAAGTCTTGAAGCTAAAATGCAGACAATGTGTTATATTGTTATATTTGTACTGACAAGGATCTGCTCCTTTAGGCTGCGGAAGAATGTACATCAGTTCTTGAGCTGGATCAGCAGCACACTGGAGCCTTGATGCTGCGTGTGCAGACATTAGTCACCCTCAAGGACTACCAGTCGGCGCTTTTTGATGTCAACAGGCTCATTGAGATGAGCCCATCATCTGATGTGTACCAGAATCTGCAAGCTCGTCTCAAAACCCAACTGGTATTCTCTTTCCTGCTCCCTTATTTTATTTTGAGGCTGATGATTTTACTGTGATCGGCCTTAAAGTTCTTCCTAGCACATTGTTCGTCTATGGAAAATCTCTTAATAATGTTTTGAGGCTTGAAAAGCCTAACTTTATCTTCACGTACGGCAGCTGATCATGGAGATGATCTGAAAATAAAATTCTTGATTGATTGATTGATTATCTGCAAGTTCCCTTTTTTTCCAAAATTAGTGGAAATAAGTTCTTTGTGGGCTAATCTAATTATATACTTCTTTTTAGTCCCTGGCTCCAATACCTGAATCGGATGAAGAAGCATTGGTTCATGAAGAAGATGGAGATGATGGAGAAGAAGAAAGAGAAAGAGAAACGGATGGAGAATCGAAGGGAGAACAGAAGAAAATTGGGGAGAAACCGAGCCAAATTTCTGGATCTTTGGATACTGAGGTCCAGAGACAAGTGAGAATTTTGGAATCCCAAACCACTCAAGCCCAGAAACCCAGCAGAGTTCTGGAGTACCAAACTGCTCAGACTCAGAAACCCAACAAAATTCCAGAGTCCCAAGCTACTCGGGCTCAGAAACCGAGCAGAATTCCGGAGTACCAAACTACCCAGACTCAGAAACCCAGAAGAATTTCGGAATCCCCTGTTACTCAGGCTCAGAGCACTGCGAACCCTTCCAATGAACGTTCCAAAGGATGGGAAACGATCCCCAAACCAAAAGGGCACTCCGGATTGGACTACTCGAGGTGGGATAAGGTCGAAGATGATTCAAGTGAGGACGAAGAAGAAGAGGATGACGATGAGCCTCAGTATCGCTTCCGTGTCAGAGCTGTCGGAATATGACCAGACTAGTGAGTAGCAGTATCGTCCTGTGAAGAAGAAGCATATAGAGCAGACCATTGCAGTCCTCTGATCCTTCCATCGTCTCCATTGGAAAGTAACACCTGCACCATCCAGATCCAGACTTTAAGGACTAATTTATTGTTTAAAGGAGGAATTCCTCATGTTGCAGATGCCGAACAGCCTGGAGATCTGAGGCATACTTCTGGGATTAATTATCTGCCTCCACTCTAACTCTCAGGTATTATGTCTCCCCTGTGTACCTGAACCTTGCAACCTTTGGAATTAATATAAAGAAGCTATTCTTTTTGTGGTTGACATGTTTGGGCCGTTTCAGGGCTTTCAATGGTGAAGCTGGCGATAAGATTATAGGGAGGCTGCTCCATCTAACTGCAGCTTTGGATGTACACCATTTTGGACTGGACTGGGCTGGGCTGGGCTGGGCTGGGCTGGGCTGGGCGAGGCCTGCCTTGGGATGCCTCTCCTTTCACAACCTACTTCCATATCACCTCGACCTCTGGATGTGGAATGAGTTTGCTTGGCTGGGCTGAAGTTTTCAGCTCCAAGCCCGGAAGAAAATTGGGCTGGGGCAGGATTCTGTGCCAGGGCCAGCCAATCGACACCTTGATCTATTGAGATGATGCCTCTTGTCTGTGAGAACTAGCTGGAGAGGCACGGTCAGAGATTAAAACTATGATTCTTCATTGTATCTGCTCAGGATCCTTATAATCCCAGAAAGATGTGAAGATGCTCTCGTTATTTTTTTTAGAACCTACTTCTAAGTAACAAAAATGGTGTAATTAACATATTTGTTTGATTTTTTTTTCTATTTTTGAGATATCATTCCATTTATTCCACATCTCATTTTCTTATTTTCTAGATCCTCAGAAAAGTTCAGGGTTTTACTGTTGAAGTCAAGTTCAGAGATCATTTTGTTGATATTGAAGGGTTTTGTGCTACCTTAATTGTTGATTTATAGGATATTAAAGAAGTTAAGTATCCAATTAGTAGGCTTGTGAATGAGATTGACCTGCTTATGAGCCTTGTCAAGCTTGAGGATGGCTGTCTTTGTGCAAGCCCTCACTTAAAGAAAGTCCCCATATGCACCATCTTTTAGAGAGAGAGAGAGAGAGAGAGAGAGAGAGAGAGAGAGAGAGAGAGAGGAACAGTCCTGAAGGGGATGTGGGCTTGATGAGTTTTGGTTCTCTAGTGCATGAGATCAAACATGGTGAGGTATTTGCAGCAATGAAGATCTTTCTTTCATCTCATTCCACCTTCCCTCATGCCGTAATTTGTCCTCATGATCTGGTCTTCTAATGTTTATGTGGATGTGTGAAGAATTTATGTTCCACCTCATCTGCCTGCCTGCAGAAGTTCTCAATTATCTCTCTCCAACAGCATAAATCCTCAATAATTTTTTTTTCCAGGAGTTTCTTCAATAGGAAAATCACAAGCTTTGTTGAAATGGGGAAATCGTGAATTTTATGAAAAGTTCGTTTTATCTTATATATTTTTTTACTCAGTGGCTATTTTTACTGTGCTTTTGTATGATTTTGGTGGAAATAAAATCTTTTAAAATATTTTAAGAAAGCGCGACATGAGATTTTAATATTTATTAATGGATTTAAAATATTGAATATTATGTATAAAAAAGTATTTGGTGAGGTTCTCGGAGAGTCCCATACTTTGGCAATATCTTATGGGACATCAACATATTTTTTTAATGCTTCAAATTTATTCAGGTTGATTAATGTCTGCACAATGGGAGGGCCCTAAGTAGCTTATATTTATAGAAGACAACCTCGCGCCAGACTGGGACTGGGTGTCGTCACAGGGAGTAGTTCCCCCCACATAGGATTGGACCCACTGCCACGTAGGAGGCAGGGCGTAGCCACGTAGCAGGGGAAAATGAGCTTCCCAAAACCTGGCCCATCAAAAGTTCGGCCCTTCCCAGATAAATACTAGATTGGGCTAAACGCGACATGTAGTTTTATTTTGGGCTTTCTTCTGGAAGGACCCAAGGGTGGTAAAATGGGCCTCGGATGAAGCCAGACTTATGGGCTGTAATTGGGTTGAACTAGATGGGCCTCACGGAGCAGAACAGTTTAGTCAGGCCCAATAAACAGCACCGACCTTCTTCGGGATCCTAGAGCGTTCGTTGGGGTATGCTGTTGTTACGTGGTCAGCCCGGCCTGCCAGACGCCACCGAGAGGAGTGGGGATCTGCCGGCGGTGACGGAGATTTTAGAGAGAGAAAGAGAGAGAGATGGCGGCTGCTGGCGGCGGCGCCCTGAACCCGCGCCTCGTGAAGATGGTGCTGGTAGTGATGGGGCTGGGGATCGGTGGGTACATCCTTGGTCCGCCGCTCTACTGGCACCTGGTGGAGGTTGTCCTCGGCCGGTCGTCCAACGCGTCATCCTCCGGCGCCGCTGAGTGCCCCGTTTGCGACTGCGACTGCTCTTTACCCCTCCTTGAGATGCCCGAAGGTAAATCTGGACTGCTCGAATCCGATTCTCCTTTGCGTCGATTGAGGATCTAAAATGCTACAGATCTCGATCAGGACTTGCTTTGTAGTGGGTATAGTCGTTCGAGAAACTGAGATTCCCCCAGGATATAATCTATTTCCCCTAGATATATAGTGGGAATTTTGCGATTATGCACCCAAATTTTGCGATTATGCATAAATCATTTCTAGCAGAAACAAAATCATTTTTATTTTTTTAAAAATAACTAGAGAATGAGTAGGCTTCTTCTCGAGAAATTTAAGCATTTGCATTTTTGAATTTTTTTCGGCACGCTAATTGTGTTTACGCTGTTCTTATTTTTGCAGAGTTGAGTAATATATCATTCACAGGTCAGTAATCCTTCTGCCGTTCAAATTATTGATGTTCTGCTGTGCTAATTTCGCCAGTGGCATTTTCATTCTGTTATTCACGTGATAGAAAAATATTTTTCTCCTTATATCTCTTCTAGTATCTTCTCTTGGTGTCAATTAGAATCATATGGAAGTTTTGTGAAATATGTTGTAGTATTTGATGCTTTATGATGTTTCTGGCAAACCTACCAAGCCACATTGATCAATATATCATTTTCCCTGTTTCTCTTTTAGGTTTTCTTTAACATCCCTATCATACCTTATCAAAAAAAAAAAATTCGCTTCCTTAACTAAACCTTACATTATCTTTTTGAGCTATCTTGTAATCGATGGCATCTTATTTTGGAAGACACTTCTTATATCATGGTTCCATTTTATCTTCCTTGGGCACGGTTTGATTTTCTATGGTTGGCATGTGAACCATGCCGAAATCTTAAATTGTTAGGTTGTAGGATTATCATGTAATTAGTTTTTGAAATGTGGGGTAGGCATCAGTGGAATCTGAAGAAAATATTGCTAATCAAATTCAAGGAAAAAGACAACCATGTGACGAAAATGGATGGGCGACGTCTTTGAATGACACAACCGACAGATATCATAGGTGAACATTTGCAATGTGGAGGGTGATAGCTCGACATCGATTAGAGAGAATGAAGTCAGGGGCAGTGGCAGCCTATGATACTGTTTGAAAGAGAGAAGTTAGGACATCTGGTTGCTTGTAGTACCATTCAGAAAGGTTGAAACCAAGAAGATTATGTGAGCCCAGTTCTTGGTCAACAATATCATATATATGCATCATTTCCTGTTCCACATACACACCTCAACTTCTTGTTCCTGTAACTAGGAGCCAGTCTGTTATGAAAGTATAGATAACAACATAAAGCGATAAATTATCTCCGGTGGTAGAAGAAAGTGAGTCTGTCTCTCACGTTTTTGCTTTTATATTCAGATCATTCGTCATCTGATATTGGATGTTTACTCATTCTCCCTTATTGTGACCTTGGATAAAAGGAAACGGGTTGAAGTGTTGACGATTGAATTTAATGGTTTTTCGGGTATGACAGCAAGAACATGGCATTTATCGGATGATGGAGTAGATAATTGGGATGAACGGAGTAGTGATATTGATGGGAAGTTGTTGCAGTGGTGACATGTGAGTTGTGATCGGGCAATAATGAAAACCGATAAACTAACAATCTTAATTCTGAATGAAATATTGTATTCACTATTAGGATTCTGTCAGTAATGTACTAAAATTATAAGCGGACATATCAGATCTGGGGTTTTTAGCATGGAGAGCATCTTGCTTCTGTAGATACAAGGCATAATTTTTGCAGTAACATAACAGTGTATGATTATAAAAAGTGGTTCAGTTGGAATGTGTATTTATCTCTGGAAGTAAAAATTCCGTCTCTATCTTCATTCAGTAAGCTTTATTCAGAAAGTAGCCTTTCTCCTTGCTTCCTCCCTGCTTGCATTGTGTAAGAGGCATTATTCAGTAAATTACAAAATCACTAAGTGAATGGCTCAAGAAATGTTGGGATGGCAATGAGGACAACGGTCTTTAAAATAAAATGGATCATGGTGGAGTGATTAATGATGATAACATTAGCGAAAGAGGGTGTTAGAGATTCGTGATGACATGACTTCTAGATTGGTGTTATTGCATGGTGTGAATGGATCATGCTACACAGATAACTTGGCCTGATTTCAAATACAACTTCGGATATGAAACAGATCACTATTTTTATGAGCTGTTCAAATCATAAATTGTAAAAATATTTCTTTTGGGCATAACAACTTGCAATAAACTAAAAAAATGGAAATAGCCGGGACTTTGCCAATTTCGAATCTTTATTGGTATACTTGTATTGCATGGTTGCGAACAAGTATTTCATATGTGGATAATTTTTTTGACTTACCTTTCACATTTTTGCCACCTATTCATAGATTGATGTTGCTTCTGATAACCAGTTATAATTGTTGTATGTTTGCATTAGTCCATTTGAGTTTCTCGATGACTATCGTGAGGTTATATTCTATATATTTTTTTTTCCCTAGTTAGTATTTATCAGTAATCATGAGATACAAATATTGAACATTTTGTCAATTATGCTTCCAAAGAGGTCAAAATGTGGGCATTGGAAGGGCCACAGTTGCCCCATTATATATGGGTCGTACATCTTGTTTACATCGAACATTTAGTATTCACAAAGAGATACGTGTTATAGGGGAAATTTCTGTTCATTATGTATATTGAATTTTTTTGTCTATATTTTCAATCAGACTCGGACCCTGTCACAGATTCCAATGACCATCATTAATGTTGTTTTTAAATAAATAAGAAACATACTTTTATTGGGAATCGAGTTGAGATCAAGTTGTCATGTTGATGAATTAGCATCCAATCTCAGGATTGCAGAAGCTTTTTTTCTTGAGTCTGTCTGAATCATCCTACCAGTTCTATGGTCGCTCAAAATGCATTAGTTTCTGCAACCAAAGAACATATTGATCAAAAAGGGCTGCTAACCGATTCCCTTTTATATCTGATGAAAGATTTTATCCCCTTCCCATTGCATATGCCATCTGCTCAGATTGCGCAAAGCATGACCCTGACGTGAGTGAAGAGATGGAGAAAAACTTCACCGACCTTCTGTCAGAGGAGTTGAAGCTCCGGGAGGCTGAGGCTGCTGAGAAGCAGCAACGTGCTGACCTGACCCTCCTTGAGGCCAAGAAGGTGGTCTCTCAGTTCCAGAAGGAGGCCGACAAGTGCAACTCGGGCATGGAGACCTGTGAAGAGGCCAGGGAAAGAGCCGAAGTCACCTTGCTGGAACAGAGAAAATTGACCGCTCTGTGGGAGCAGCGGGCACGGCAGAGGGGGTGGAGGGATGGTCAAGTCAGGGCCCAAGCTTGAGATGAAGACAGAAAGGAACCGGACTATCGACACATTCCTGCTCTTCCTACTGCCTTCAGAGGGAGTTCATCAGCTGCGGCAGAGTCTAATGCAGGGATGGGCAAGGCCCAATGAGAATCCCGTATGATCTAATTATAATCTCGTCCACTATAAATATACAACTTGTTGTTGTCCTTTACAAGCATTGATTGTGCAGAAGGTATCAGGTTTCTGTCTTATTCTTCTAAGAAATTCTCATAGATTGGCCAGGGATTTATTATATTGTGGACTCCTGTTTGGTGATGGGCTTTATAAGGCGCCCAAGATCTCAGCTAACTGATTGATGTGGATGATCTGAATGCATTACATTTGAATGTACTTAAGTCAAAGTGTTGACCAAGACAATCTCTGGTGATGGGTTTTATAAGCCGGTAGTTGACCATACTGTGGTCAGAATCTCAGCTAACTAATTGATGTGGATGATTAGAATGCACTGTGCTTGGATGTACTTGCAGAAAATATAAACAGAGAGGGGGACAATATCTTAACTTTGATAGAATAGAGAGAAAATAAAGGAAAGATATCCTCTGTTCAAGAACAGAGGGGAGGTGTAGTGTAAAGACACCTCTAGTCTTTCTCTCACCCACTAAGTATCTTGAAAGAGAGACAAACTTTAACAATGTTTTTCCAAAATACCTTTTAACCTAATTACCCTTATACCTTCTAACACTCCCCCCCAAGATGAACTTTGGATAAGTTCATCATAACTAAGTTGTTGATGATAATGTCATAAAGCTTCTCTTGATAAGAGTCAACACCACCTTGAACATATGTAGTGGTAGACTAGATGTAGACTCCCTCATACAAAAGTGATGTAATCTTAAACAAAGGCAACAATAGTAAAAACAAGGCTCCCTTAAATAAGAACAGTGTTATCTTCAATAAGGACAAAAATAATAGAAATAAGGCTTACCCATATATGAATAATTCTACCTCCAACAACGACAGTAATACTGGAAATAAGGCTCCCCTAAATAGAAGCAATGCTACTTCCAACAAAGGTAGCAGTATTGAAAATAAGGTCTCTTAAACAAGAGAGACACTACCCCTAAACAAGGTAGACTGATCATAGTGCCCAATTAGGGATAAAAACCCTAGGGCCTGGTGTTGGACAGAGGATGGCAGTAGACTGGTGGCTACCACAACAGCAGCCCTGATTCATGCCACTGAATGCCTTTGGATAAGGACAAGACTCTAGGGTTGTGTTGGTGCTAGACAAAGATTGATGCCATATCTAAGGCTATGCCGGACTATTGAAGGAGATGGCAGTGGCAATAGTAGTGGCGGTGATGACATTAATAGTGGCGGTGATGACACTTGTAGTGACAGTGGCAACAGTGGCACTAGCTGTAGATAGGAAACAGTAGACAAAGCTGATGCCAAATAGAGGGAGCAGTGGTAGCAGATAGGAGATGTTGGATACTGCCGGATGCCAATGGTGGCGGTGATGGCATTCTGATGGGTGCCCACTATCAGGAAGTGAATAAGAGCAAGTATAATAAATAATAATAATAATAAATCAAGCTCTACAAACAAAAAACTCTTTCCAATTGTATAGAGTAGTTTTCAACCAAGACTATGAATAAGATAGGGAGAAAATACAAAGGGGAAGGGGATGGGAAAATAAGGATAACAAGGGGACTCACATGATCCCTAGTAAAGCCTATTTGAGATGGCCAATCTCCAAGCTCCTTGAGGAGTTTATGACTCTATTTCTCCTCCCCTTCTTGTTGGAGGAAGAGGTGATCTTTATAGCCAACCTTGATCCGTTCATGTTCTTTTATTTCCTGACCATTGCTGAACCAATTGTTATGACCTAGCTCAACTATCAACTTCATCTTATGTCTTGTTGCTTTGCTCTTGTCTTGACGATCTAATAATATTGGGTCTTGGGCCTCCTAGGGATAGTTGTAAGTGACTAGGTCTGACCTTTGCGGGAGCCCTTATATAAGATCAACTTGAATTAGGGATAATTATTTTTCATGTAGATGGAGCCATTATATTAAGGCCTTAACAATACTTCCCATTAGAAGTTTCACCTTCTTTGAAAAGTTGAAGATTGAGAAAATAGATTTGAATGGTGCGAGTAGATTCCCAAATAACATCTACAAGGGAAAGATCTTGCCACTAGATTAAGACTTCCAACCTAGATGGCTAGAACTTGCGTTGATTCTGCCATCAACTGAAGATCTTTGACAACTCGTAAGTGAGTAAAAAATTCTGAGTTGACTCACAAGACTAGCCTGCTTGAGTTGTGAACATGGAATGCAGGGTGTATGTTGGTAATGGGTAGAAGTTTCATATGATATGCCATCGACCCAACATGTCTGAGCACCTTAATGGGCTGAAAAAGCATGGAGTTAGCTTCTCATTTGGTCACCTAGCAAGGGTCCTCTATCGATAGGGTCAAAAATGGTAGACCAAGTCTCTTACAAATTCAAGCTATTTTCAGTTGTGGTCAGCATAGTTCCTCATTAGGGTGAGCTTGTGCCAAGTGTTGCTTATGTTAAGGTGGCATCACATTCCTGCATAAGATGATCTAAGTCCCTCATTGTTGCTGACCTCTCTATATATCAAAGGAGTAGAGGATCACGACCAAAAACAATTTGGAAAGACATTGTCCCTATTGAGATGTTGAAGCAAAAATTTGGCTTAGGAAAGTCACTTGTGCTACTAATGGGGCTGATCTCTAGCTAAATAATGAATGTAGATCTTCAGCCTTTATTGACAACTATTGGTTTGAGAATAATACGAGTTGATTCATCAAAACATTGTCCCTTGAAGCCAGAATAATTCCTACCAAAAATTTGCTCATAAAAATACAACATGATTGATCAAGATGGATATTGTAAACTCATGCAGAAAAATAATGTCCTAGAAAAAGATTTTAGTAATGTCTTGAATGATAAATAAATGTCACATAGTCGAGAACCAAGTGTACTTGCTCAAGCAATTCATGACCACCAATATGAAATTCCATCCATTGGAATTGGATAAACTTTTAATAAAATCTATGGTTAGATCTTCTTAGATTTGCTCTAGAATTGGTAATAGTTGAAGAAGCTAGGCTGATAAGTGAGCCTTAGTTTTGTTGGCTTGGTAGATGACACAAGCTGCCACATATTTCTACACTTGCCTCTTCAAGTACATCCATCATACGTTTTGAGTTAACCATAGATTTGCAAAAATCTCAAGTGCCCTCTTATAGTAGAGTTGTGGAATTCCCTCATGAGGTTGAGAATGAGTTTTACTATCTTCAAGATCATCACTCGTCTTTAGTGTAAGAGGTAAGCTTACTAGATCAAGTAGTGTCACCACTTTTTAGGATTATGGAGAAGTTCTTTGATTATCTTCTTAAGTTCAAGATCTTTTTGGTTTTCTTAGAGGATTTGATTAGATATAACAATTCAAGTTTGAATAATTTAGTGTTATGTAACCATACCTAGTCAAGCACTTGAATAATTTAGTTTGAATTTGATAATGAAGTTGAAGCTAATGATTTTTGAGAGCCATCTTTAGTACTCCATCAATACCTAACTTTGTTTGAGAATACATTTCAATCTCCTTTGATTGGTGTAGATGACGAATTTTTGTGTCAAGAGATAATGTCTCCACTTCAATGTAACCAATATGATCGTGATTAAATCTTAGTTGTATGTTGTCTTCAATTGGTTCAAAGAGGAGATTTTTTGGCTGAAGAAGATAATGGGTTTCCTCCACTGCATTATAATGGTGCTCACTCCATTGTTGGAGCCATCTACTTCTAGTTCAAAGATCATTGAGATATCCAAGAGAGCCAACATCAGAACAATTGTTATAGAAATTTTAAGCCATTGAAATACCTATTTGGGTTTGAAATTTTAATTGAAAGTGTTATTTTTCAACTATTGAGTGAGAGCCAATGTTATGATGTCATATCCCTTGATGAATCTTCTATAGTAGTTTGTGAGATTGAGGAATTCGTGAAGCTCATAGAGACTGATGAGAGATGGCCACTTCATGACAATGGTGACCTTTTTTGGGTCCACAATCATCCCATTGGTTGAGATCCAATGGCTTAAGTACAAGATCCATGATTGTCCAAACATATTTTTTGGGGTTAATATGAAAGTGATTCTCTTGTAGAATTTGGAATACCTAAGATAGGTGATTGTCGTGTCCTTCTCAGCTCTTGGTATAAATTATAATGTCATCAAAAAATATGATAACAACCTAACATAAAAATAAAAAAATAATACTAGTTCATGATGGCTTAGAAGATTTGCTAGTGTTGAAAAGCTCAAAATGTGTTATGAGAAACTCATAATGTCTTTCATGAGTTCTGAATGTGGTCTTAAAAATATCCTCCGCACACACCCTGATCTGATAATACCCAAATTACAAATCCAACTTAGAAAAGACATCTGCTCCATGCAGCTTATCTATCAACTCCTCAACCATTGATATAGAAAAGTGATCGATAATATAACATTGTAGGAATCCATGTAGAATCATCAAGAGTCATCTTTTTTTCTAATGAGGAGGGATGGGCTTGTGAACAAAATGTGCAGGTGTTAGATGATCCTTGTAACTAACATCTCACCCACTTGTTTTTTAAATTTAGTTTTAAGAAAATATGGGTACCTAAATAGATGTATGTGAATGGATTTATTGCCAAGTTCTAATAGAACTCTATGATCTAGACTACGTATTGGAGGCGTCCCCTTAGTACACTTTTGAAAATTGATGTTGTAGTTTGGTTGCTAGGGTGAGGAACTATCTTTAAGATCACTTAGGGTTAGCTGAAACAATTCATAAAAGATCTCAGCTCTGTGGATGTGACCCACCATGGTTTGAAGTTTGATCAAATTGTTGAATTTAAGGGGCTATGTTGTTAGCACAAGCCTCTCTATTCCCACCATAAAAGATGAGATTTAACTTAGAAATCTAGTTTGATCTTCCTGTTATCCTTCCTCTAGTGGAGTCCAATGATTATATAGAGGCTGAAGCCCAAATACCAAATTTGATGGGTACCTACTATCAGGAAGGGAATAGAACCTCTATATAATAGGTCTTCCTCTTTCTGATCAAGCTAAGACCTTCCTCTTATACCTTCTAACATTACTTAATTCAAAGTGCTTCTCAAGACTATCTAAGTCGCTAGGTTGAGAGAATTAGAGAGAAGGATCTTTTAAGGCATTCAAGACCCATGACATAGGTCTTTTATTTATATCCCTTGTTCTAAGATCTAATATCATAAAACAGAAGTGCACCCACCTATATTCTTTCTTTGTTGGTTGATGCCTGATTATACAAAAAAAGTTTCTTCATTTTTTGTTCCTAGATATCTTTCATTATTTTATGTTATTGGATCCATTGATAAATATTTTGCATTCATTAGAACAAAAAAATATTCCTAATTTTTTGTTCCTAAAAAATTGACACTATTCTAATTTTTTCACTAATTTTTATTGTATCATCCTAACAAAGAAATATTAGTAGTGATGTCATAAATGGCAATGAAATTATTCCATGTTAGATTATGTGCAATTTATTGCTTTGTGTTGACATAGTTTGTCATTTTAAAAGGTAATAGGTCATGTACTATATTCTTTCTTTTTCTAGTGGTTCTTTATACCTGATTATGTTGAGTTTTTTATTTTTTAAATGAGCTGTTAATTTTAAAAGTACATATGGATGAGTAAATTTGAATGGCTTTTCATTAATAATTCTTATATATTAATCACTCTCAAGGCATGCTTTTGTGAAAAAAAAAATTCCATTGTAATTAGCATCATGTATCATTAGAACTTGGCAAACATAATATTTATGCTGATCTAAATGATCAAATCAAACTGCCAAATAAAAGGCTCCATCATGACCCAATAGAGTTGACATTAAGCAAAAAAGTCAACTCTTCAACCCCCCCATGTGCTTACTTATCATCATCAACCATCATAGAACAACAATTTTTTTTGGAGATCTTTGACATTGCTTGGTTTGCGAACGAGAAAACTCCAAGTTCATCAGTGAGTGAGCAGATGTTGGATGGTATTATTTCATATTAATTGTAAAAAAAATTACTTTACAAAGTCTACTCTTCTTGAGGCATTCTATTCATCAAGATGGTTACCAAATAGGTTATCCATGTACACAGAACAAGGATACCATACTTTGAGGCTCCCTCTTGCATTAAAATATACAGTCAAAATTACATGCTTGAAAAGCAAGTAATAATAATAATAATAATAATACTAATGCATTCTCAATATCTACATTTTTTGAAAATAGAAATAATCAATATATATAAATTTCCCTAGACAGGAACTAAAGATTCCACAAATAACTTGCCCACCGCGGCCTTGATGACCCCCACATCGATGTCAATCAATTTGCCCGATTTGGATGACATGATAGTGCACCTCTTCTCCTCCGCATCAGGAACAAACAGTCTTCCCTTCTCATCTGAAGAGAACAAAGCCACGCTGCAAGATCACAGAACCGATAAGAATACATCACCTGATGTAGTGTTAGCCAGAGGGGACCCGAAGAAAGAAGGTTCAGAAAAATGGGCCCCAGCCACCCCTCCAAGTGCACGTATCAATGAGGGTGAGAGTGAGTGAGTGAGAGGCCGCATGAGAGTGAGAGAGAGAGAGAGAGAGAGAGAGAGAGAGAGAGAGAAATCAAGGCCCATGAGCTCGATGAGTTTCTAGGATTTGAAGGATGTGGGCAAGAAATCAAACCTGGTCTTATCTCGGGCATGGGCGAGTTGAACTGCAGCTGTGTTTGTGCAGATCACTCCGGCTGAGTCATTGATCAGAGCCGCAAGCTGGGTTTCGAGAGGAGAGGTTGAGTAAATTATTCGCCATATTTTCTACTAAAATATTATTTTTTATTATCATGGAAAAAATGTAAAAATAAATAGAAAGGTTCTCTAGCCTAAGGTATTATTTTGAAAAAAGTTCTGAGGAAGATGATATTCATTGGATGGACCTGGCCTGGTGTGGTGATGAACACGATGCTGGAATCTTCTCCGACAGCTTCCTTCACATCTTCCCTCTCCTTCTCATGTGGGATGACAAAGACAGGCTTCAACCCCCTGCTTTCCACAATTCAATGCATGTATTAATTATACAAAATAATCCTGGAAAAACTCAAATTAACTTAAAACACCAAGAAACATCAGTGCGCAAGATTACTCAAATTAGAATACAGCCCACCTTTAAGAATAACTTTTAATTGTTTTCGAAAATTTGATTCTACTCATTACCTCAGTGCCTTCACGATTTCTGCCCAGATTTGGATCGGTAGCAAGCTATCTTCGTCACCCTTCGACCGCATTGATGCTGCAGAGTCGGATTGGATGCCGTGGATGACCACAAACTTTCCTCTTTCAACACCCGCCTGCTGGTACTTCTCCTCCACGAAGGCCTTGATTTTCTTCGAGATGGAAACTCTGAAAGGGGGGAGGGGCTCTCTTGGGACGTTGCGGGCTGGCCTGCCTAGCCAGTCAACCATCTGGTGGTACCTGCTCTAGAGAACATCCGAAGCACACCGATTACTGGGGAAGTCAAAGTTGGCCTTTTTCAGTACACCATTCTTTGATGGCTGGGAATGAATCATCTCTGATAACACATGAGAAAATAACTAGGTTGATGGCTGAAACTCGTGGATTCACCATGGCAATGCTTGCTTTGTTGATATGAAAAAAATGGCAGCGGCTTGTGGCCTCATAAGACTCGGAGATAAGTAAATGAGAGAGAGAGAGAGAGAGAAAGAGAGAGAGAGAGAGAGAGAGAGAGAGATGGCATCTTACGTACATATTGTATCCGCCCTCAGAGAGGTTTGTTGTTGGAGGAGTGAAGGTCTCTGATAAGAACAGCCCGGCCCCTGCCGCATTTACATTTGGGTAGATGTAGCTGACTCTGTCGCGGGCTGTTGACATGAACAGGAAGGCCGCATGCCCAATCCCAGCAAGCTTCGTCGAGAGTATCATATCATAGTACCTATTCTGTCCACGGAGAGATAGAACATCAAATACTTGGCGCTGATCCACCGATTATGAGAATAATCACCCGGCTGCTTCCCCACCAGAACGTTTTCTTTCTTATTGAAAATCAACCATTAAAACCTCAATCTTTCTCTGGAAGCACTCATGAAATGATGCGAGATATGACTATAAAATCCGTCCACTAAGGTTAAAGCATCATTGATGCTCTTTTCTAAAAGTTGACGAGGAACTGGGAAGGAATCTGATTCAAAAAAGGACAGCGCCAATCTTGAAGCTCCAGAAAGGGCTAATAGAGAGTGGGAAGAAAAGAGTGGGCAGAGGATAATGGAAGCATTGTAGTCCTGGTACTAGTAGCAGTGCTCTGAAAATTAGACCTCCCGAGGAAGACGAATCATCTACCTTAATGACGCCGACCATGTCTGTATACTCCGCTGGTTCGGGAAAATCGTCATCTAGGTCGTAGACATTCGCCCACCTGACATTCTTATTGAGCTCATAGGTCTGTTTCCCTCTCGAGGAGGCGATCACGTCCACCTGAATCCCCGGATACCTGTTCTTGAGCAGCTGGATCAGCGGGAAGAACAGGAGGTTCTCGTAGACCCCGCCGGAGACGACGCAGCAGCACCGCCGCACGTCCCCCCTTACCTTCGGCCCTAGCGAAGCGATCTCCACGTTGTACCCCGCCGGAAACTTTAGGAACCCGTAAGGATTGCTGGGATCGTCCGGCGGCCGGGGGTCCTCCTCCTGCTTGCCGTCGGCGAAGAGGGAGCCGTACTCCATCTCCGGGTCGGCGCCGTCGTCGAACGGGTCCAACCATGGGTTCTTCTTCTTGATATTTGCAGAGAAATCAGGCCTGTGGGAGTGGATCGGCCTCTGGAGGGGGCTCAGATGGGGAGATACGAAGTGGGCAGGCGGAATTGGAGGGGATGACCTCCCCAGGAGGAAGGAGGCCGGCTTGGGAAGGAGATGATGCGTCATCGCCATGGATTGGAGCTTCTTCACTTTCCTCCTTCCCCTTGTTTTTGCTTTCTTTATGCTCCGGTGGCTTCTTCTTCTTCTTCCGCGGGAGAACGAACGGGTGGACGGTCGCCGCTCGTTATCTGCAACATTATCTGGGGGACGGCAGAGGAAGCTCTCCTCTCTCTCTCCTTTGACCGTTGTACCCTTCCCGCAAAAATTCAAATTCCTCAACGGTCACCTTTTATTTAGGTTTATGTATTTATATTCTCTCCCCCAGTGTGATGGTTATTGTGGATATATCCCCCACCTGAAGTACAGTTATCTTGCTCCGCGTGGACATATAAGGACAATTTGAACGCGCGGCCTTCGCCTATCGAAAGTTTCAGTATCATCGTGTTTCTCCACATGAAGACTGGATTATACCCAGCCTGCGAGACACCGAACTGGCCCGGGGGCTCCGCAGAACAGCGAGGGGCGGGGGCGGAGAGAGAGAGAGAAGAGAGAGAAAGAGGAGAGGCAGAGAGAGAGAGATAGAGGACCGCCGGGGCGGGGGCGGGGGCGGGGGGGGAAGGGGGGTTCAGTATCCTCTTCCGCCGGCCATGAGGGGGCCTGCTGCAGCATTCCTCGTTCTCCTCCTCGTCTTCTCTCTCATCGCCATCTGCCTTCTCTTCTTTCCCTCGTCTTCTCCATTGTCGGTGCAGTTTTCTCTGAACGCGTCACCCGGCGGCGCGCAGTCCTCCTCCCGTCTCAAGATCTACGTCGCCGAGCTCCCCCGATCTCTGAACTACGGCCTCCTGGAGAAGTACTGGTCCCTCGCTCGCGCCGACTCTCGGATCGGGGTCGACCCCGACGAGGATCTCCGCTCGTCTCTGTCCCGCGCCTCGGCTTCGTGGGGGAATGGGGAAAGGCCTGTGTTGCTGCCGTATCCGGAGAGCCCGCTGATCAAGCAGTACAGCGCGGAGTACTGGCTGCTGGGAGACCTCGAGGCGTCACCGACGACGAGGAGTCCGTCGGCGGCCGCCGAAAGGGTGGCTAGACCGGAGGACGCCGACGTGGTTTTCGTGCCGTTCTTTGCGACGCTGAGCGCAGAGATGGAGCTGGGGTGGGGTAAGAAGGGGGGGTTCGGCAAGAAGGAAGGTAATGATGACTACGCCAGGCAGAAAGAGGTGGTGGATCTCATTACCAGTTCGGATGCCTGGAATAGATCTGGCGGTAGAGATCATGTGTTTGTCTTGACAGGTTCGTAATCGAGCTTGTTGATCCATGCCAGTGGGATCTGTTTGAAATTTTGAACTATTTCTTTGTTCATATTCATGCCATGAACGTCTGAAGCAACCAAGCCATGGTCATTTCTGGAGAATGCTCATGATCAATATGTTCAGGTCACATTCATTTCTATGGTCCTTGTTCGCTTTCTTCATGGGACAGGTTCTGGGGAGGGCAATTTTTTTTTTCACTGATTGTCTAGCTGCTTACGGAAGTAGATCTCTGTGTTCAAGAACTCCAAGTGTGCTCATGGTTCAATTCCCTTAACATGAGAGGACTGTGACCCCTGGGACTAGCTTTTATCGACTGTGCTAGAAATGTCGTTCAGATAGAAAATATTTCAAAGCTCCAGTTTCACACTTTGGAATTCACCAGTACCATTGCAATGTAGGAAACTGCCATGCCATCTTTCCGACCTAGTCAGTGGATTAGAGGTTAATCATCCTTCAATATTTCTGTAACATTAACATGAGCGTCTTCCAGCGAATTAGTAGTTGGCTACTGCCTCTGGGCTTACCCCATACTAACTCATTCCGTCTTCATTTTTAATTCATTTAAGGAGATGATGACTTAGAGTATTGTCCTATTCAGGGCATGATAAGATGATTAGACGTTTTCATTTTTCAGACATGAATTTCCGTACCCCACAAACTTCATCAGTCAATTTTTCTTAGAAATTATATTGAAAATATAAATCTTACATATTAATTTAGTTTCCCTAGCCTTAAGACAGGCCATGCTAATATCTGATTGATTTTTCTTAACTAGAAAAACATCTAGGTTGGGTTGTATGTAACCTATTAGGCTTTTACTTTTCTCCTCATGAAACAGTTTCGTTTCACACAGACTAAGAGAACATATGTTTGATTCCTTGCTGCCACAAAGATTCTATCATAGAAAGTATTGAGGCCGGCATTGATCTGCTCTGAGTCATTTCGATTAAACACAGGGACAAAGATGTTCAATACAAATTTTACAATGTTTCTCTGATGCCATGCGCTCAATGTTTTTGATTTTTTCGTTCGGCAATGAAGCTATGGATATTATGTTGTCTCAGGATAAAAGTACTACTTTTGCTGACACCATGTAGATAAGAGAAGTGGATCTATTTGAAATTCTTTCCCTAAATGTATTTATCTGCCTACCTTTTTTGCATCACTTAAACGTATTGTTTCTTCGTTTTGTTGATCAATTGAGTTCTGGATGCGTGGACTACACATGATTCAATCATTGGACCGTTACTTTACAAAAAGAAGCATGCTTTGATTCTTTGGATTCTCCGGTTATGTTAAAACTTTGGGGCATTCTTTGACAGACCCTGTTGCAATGTGGCATGTTAGAAATGAGATCGCACCCGCTATTCTCCTTGTGGTTGACTTCGGTGGCTGGTTTAAGCTTGATGATAAAACATCTGACAGGGGGCCCTCTCATATGGTTCAGCACAACCAAGTCTCTCTTCTTAAGGATGTAATTGTGCCCTACACTCATCTGCTCCCAAAGTTGAGCTTGTCAGAAGATCAGCCTCGCAATACTCTTCTCTATTTCAAGGGAGCTAAACATAGGCACAGGGTATGCCCCCATCGTCTCCATCTAACAAATTTATTTAACATTGCATTGTAAACATTTGAACTTGATAAAATTGAAGTGTGAAGATCTGGATTGATTTCCCTCAACAATCATAAACCTCCCATGGTTCCAGATTTTTTGCCAACACTTGGATTTGAGAAAGTATGCAGATTTCAGAGATTCTGATGGGGGTTGAGGGGAGGGGGGGCGTCTGTCTTAGTGGCAGTTCCCATATTTGGCCTCTATTTCGTATCTCTCTTTAGGGCATTTCATCATACTTGTCTTTGTGTTATCATAGGTGATCCCTTCGCCTTCAATGGATCCTTCAGGCCAAAGCTGATTCTTCTCTTTGCAGGGTGGCCTGGTCCGCGAGAAACTGTGGGATCTTCTGGTCGATGAGCCAGGCGTGGTGATAGAAGAAGGTTTCCCCAATGCCACTGGCCGAGAGCAGTCGATCAAGGGGATGAGGGCATCGGAGTTCTGCCTCCACCCGGCTGGGGATACGCCCACCTCGTGTCGGCTCTTCGATGCTGTCCTCAGTCTCTGCATCCCGGTCGTCATCAGTGACCAAATTGAGCTCCCATTCGAAGGAATCCTTGACTACTCTGAGTTTGCCATCTTTGTCTCCGTCGCTGATGCACTGCAACAGCACTGGCTGGTCGACCACCTGAGGAACTTCACTGACAAGCAGCGGCACCAGTTCCGGCGGAACATGGCCCAGGTCCAGTCTGTGTTTGAGTACGATAGTGGCAGTGCCAGAGGGGTTGGGCCAGCCCCTCCAGGCAGTGCGGTGGAGCACATCTGGAAGAAGGTCTCACAGAAGGTCCCCATAATCAGGGAGGCAGTGGTTAGGGGCCGACGGAAGCCCAACGGTGTGGAGATACCACTCAGATGTCACTGTACTTGACCTTGGCTCAGCTTCCTTTGTGTCCATTCAATTGATGGAAGCCGGCAAGTCTCCTGCCGGACTTTCTTCTACACCTAGTTTGGAGCACGCAGTGCTGCCAGGATCTGCTGTTGCTGCTGTGCATGTGGTCTCCTCTGCTAGGCTCATGAACTCCACTGCAGAGGGGTCCATCTCTGCTGCCGTGAGAAGGGTGGGAAGAGTCTGAGGGACAGTTGCAGCCAACAACAGTAGATTATAGTTCCCCGCCATTGGTAAGAATAAAATAAGTTAATGAATATATAGTGCGGCTTTCTCCCGTCTCAAGCTTTGACTGAATTTGAGAGTGTGGAACCTCATGATTTTCCAGCACGTAATATTTTTGGATTTTTGGTCTTCAACGATCCCTTAAAGCGACATGAAAAGGTGTTGTCTAAAAGGCCCAACAGGGGCTTTTGAAATTATTGTTTTCTCGTTTGGCTTGAGAGCTCATTCTTTGTAGTAACTTGTTTATTCGTCAGGAGATCTCTTATATATAGAAAAAAATTGGAAATAACGTTTTAAATTTTATGGGGCCTCACTTCTAGGCATCAGGAACGATCATGTATGTTTTCCTTGGATGGAATTCCTTACAAAAATGAATATTTCTTTTCGTTATGAAATTTCTATCTCAATATTCTCAAAATGCTATTTTCAGCATGTTGACTCATTCAATTTTGATAGCTTGGAGATATCTATGGGTTTATAGAAACTTTCCAAGCTTGACAGATAATTTTCGTTATTAAATTTTTTTTTGTGAATCTCATCAAAAATTTCAAAATATATTGTACAAAATTTAATAACATATCTGACTTGGGTGGATGATGGCAAGGAGCAAGGAATCTTCATGTAATTTCTCACTCACCATCCTCCTTTCCTTATCTTTCTATTGGTAAAATTAAGCAACAATAGACTGGGTTTGAAACCAATAAGGATAATAGAGAAGGTCTTGACAAAGAGTAAAATTCTCTCCTCAAAATTGAGTTGGACTATTTATCCTGTTGTGGATTTCCAAGACATTATTTGGTATCTGAGGGGTATTTTAAAAGCATTCATAGGGGTACATTTTTTGATTTTTTTTTCAAATGCTAACTTAAATAATAAAATGTCTGCACAATTCACTTTGTTTTTCATTGGTAGATCGAATGAATTATTATAGGCAATATAAAATATTGAAAAAGGAATTGAAAAATGTTAAATAATTAATCTTTTATGACAACATGTGATTGGAGTTTGTTCATTAATATCATTCTCCCATAGTATAATAGAGTCCATCCTTTGAGGTTGACTTTGTCATAAAAGTATTATCCCTAATCTTGTACAATATGTAGAATACTTGCTTTCTTAGTAGAGGGGAAACATTCCTTTTCCAAGTTGTGGTCAAATAGGATCTTCAATTCCAATGTTCTAAGAATGTTGACACTTGTCCACACTCTCTTTATATTCAAGGCTGATTTTGTTTGATTTTACAATCTATGTGATCACTTATCACTTTAACTTTTGTTTAGATTATTCTTAGTTTATATATGCACCAAAGGCATTGATGACAAGGAACATATTCAAATATTATGGTCCGTTTGATCCATGGACCTATGTAAGAGGGAGGAAGTATTGAAGGAAAGGGATTATCAAAATAGGAAAGCATATAGAGGCTAGGGTGCCTCGAAATCCCCAACTAAGATTCTAGTTCTTCCTTCTTTTTTCCTCTTGTCATCACAATGAATCCTAATTGTCAAAGAGGAAAATGTTGGTGCATTTCCTTAATGTTTTCCATAGGGGAAAATGAAGAATACTAATTAGCATGGTGGAAATGTTGCTACATTTCCTTATCCTCTCTCTAGAAAATAGTGTTATTACACAATACTAGTTGGCTTGCACTCATGGATGAACACAATCATTCTCAAGTATAGGTTCCAAGCATTTCAAGTAGTATGATCATTTCCAACTTCTTATGTAGAAAACTCTAGCAATCTTGATGTCATGCTTCAATCAGTTTCTTCTTAAGCAAGGTAAAAGCCAGTTTGGCATCTTAAAAAAGAGAATAGTTAGTGTTGAAAATCTTGAATAAACCTCTAATAAAAAGGGTTGCACGCCAAGAAAAATCTTAGCTCAATAAATATCAAGAATTGGGTGGTCTAACTAGAAATAAATTCCAGTTTGATTCTATATGTATGGACTATATAAGCTTTGAAGATTAGGCTGGAGAAAAGACTGTGAGTGACATAGGCTTTTACTAAGTTGTCGTTTACACCTAGAACCTAGATCTGATTATGTAAGAAATTACAGAAATGCTAATCTTAATTGTAACTTACATAGTTATGTTAAGACCAGGTCATTCTCCACAAGGACTAAGTATTATCTATCTATTCTATCAGGCTAATGATGAGAGATAAGGACGAGAATGGATCAAAAGATAAAAGAAGAAATAAAAAATTAAGGTTGGTACACCAACGTAGAGGATTAAAGAAAAGAAATTTTTATGAATCCTAACAAAGGAGGTAAAATGAAATCTCAAAATATATTTAATCATACTTACCTAAATCTACTTAGTGCTGCCTTGAGTTGAAGCTCATTTTGATCGTGTGTACTCACCTGAGATCTTTGCTAGTCATCAAGATTAGGCTATTTGGTCGGTGCAAAAGAGAAGGGACTTGATCTAGGGGAAACTCCCAACACAAGGATAGCCAACTCAGTCTCTATTAAGCTAGGAGAAAAGATGTAGAGTCTTACAACCAATTCACGCTTCAGATACAAGTCAAATCGAGGAGAAGTGGAGGACATCTTTGCTCCTTCTTCCCTTCTAGATTATATCACAGGCCCCCCTCTCTCCTTCCCCCATATTCTCCTTTAAAATGCCAACCATTGAGAGGAACTCCAATCACCTGGCCATGATTTAAGGGCTGGCAGCTAGAATACTCCGATCTACCATTCATTTCATCTTTGCTTCCTGATCTCTCTCATCCAAGCATGTCACATGCAGACTCCTCATTTCATCTTGCGTCCTCTCCTCTTTTATCTGATTAGATCTAGTCCACATGCTAAAGAAATATCATAAAAGTACTAGAAATATCTAAAAAATCACAGGAATTTAGCCTTTTGACTTGTAGAAAGCCAAAACTAGACTAACAATGTCATAAAAATTTGGAAAAATTCTATAAAATAGGATTTTTTTTATAAAAATGCGTGGAAATAGAAAATATGCAATTAAAATATGGTAACATCCTAACTTATGCATTCTAAATTCATATAAAGATGATAATTAACTCCCTTTTTATTGAATAATTAGCATGTTTATCTGTGAGCTCATGATTAAAGATAATTGCACATAGATTCTCCATGTCATATAAATAACTTTGCCTGAAATAATATTTAACATTTTTACTAATCATTCTTATTTTTATTGAAATGCCAATTTTCAAATGTACACGATTCCAATTTTACTTACTATTTACACCATTTTTAGTCAAATAATGTGTTTCGATCAATCTAATATGGTGTGGGCATCATATTAGATTAAATTCTTTATATGTAAACGAGACACCTTGGTTCGTGGATTTCTATTTGGATGAAGAATATGATGTTTAAGTTCACATAAATGGAAATATTAGTTGGCAGTGCAGGTGAAAGCTAATTAAATGCGGTCCCCGAGAGCCGACTGAGAAGCATCTATATTTTCGCCATAAATCTCCATGGGATTATCCTACTTTCGGTCAGAGCATACGATGCTGTCCTATCACAGCTTCGCCCTCTTATTTGTCGATGCGATTATCTCCATGTGCGTCTGTCTACTTGGCACTACTCGTCAGGATGAGTACATAGTCCGTGCAGATATTTATAAGGGGAGAGAGAGAGAGATGAAACACATCATCTAATTTATGAATTTATTTCTGCTGTGCAGCTGGTAAACATTAGGGGCAATGTTCAGACGCGGTTGAGAAAACTTAGTGAAGGGGAGGTCCATGCAACTCTGTTGGCCTTGGCCGGACTGAAGCGCGGCTTAATATGACTGAGAATGTCACCTCTATTCTGTCTACAGAGGAAATGCTCCCAGCGATTGCACAAGGTGCAATTGGTATTGCTTGCAGAGGCGATGATGATAGCATGGTATGACAATATTATACCTTGCTTAAACAATTTCTCTTTCGTTTATTATGGTGGTTTGTTTGATAATTGTCTCGCTTTCTGGCCATTTTCTGCCATGTGGATGATCTGGTATCTAGGAATTTAATATAGTTTCTCTCCCAACGCTCAAATTCTGGAGGAACAATTGGATTACCGATGACCAATATGGTCTCCAGTATGGGGAAAAATATAGGAGAAATTACATGAACAAGGCCAAATGGTCCAGGGATGGTTGATTAGTACTCCAAAGAATTTGAGGAGTGTTCTGTCATCATCTTACCAGAAGAACTTGGACATATACTTTTGCCCAGATGATGATTTTTTTAGTCCAATGTATGGAATCATTTGTGTTAGGAAACGAATTGGATTATCCAACTATGGGCTGATTCACGATGAATCTATCTTAAGTTTGACTATTTTTGTAGGATGTTACGTGCATGTCTTGGGGGATCGGAATTCCCATCTAAGATTTAATTGAGGAATACAGAATTCCTCTCTGTATCCACTGATTCATCATTTCGTGGGTTCAATGACTTTCATTTGATGAGTTAGAAATATTTTCTGACCAGAGTGCTGGCGATCCTTCTCCCATTATTCCTCCTCTACATGTTGTACCGCCCTGAAAATTCTTCTCGTCTCCTATTTTTATTATTCAAAGCACGCACTCTGGTGTGTCATTTGATGGAGGTCTGAACGTGTTTGCTGCAGATTAATTATATTGCCTCATTGAACCATGAGGAGACCCGATTAGCTGTGGCCTGCGAGAGGGCGTTCCTCACAGAACTGGACGGTTCTTGCCGCACTCCAATTGCTGGGTATGCTTACAAGGACGCTGAGGGATACTGCGTCTTCAGAGGCCTGGTTGCTTCACCGGACGGAACCCGGGGTAATTAAATCACGTGACTATGTAACAATTTAACCAGGTTTTCATCTTGGATCTGGGAAATTATATATCACTCCTTCTCATGTTGGCCCCCCCTACTGTTTCTATTTTCAGTGCTTGAAACCTCGAGGAGAGGTCCTTATTCTCTTGATGATATGCTTTTGATGGGCAAAGATGCTGGGAAGGAGTTGATTGCCACCGGCGGTCCTGATTTCTTCAGGTGGTAGACGAAAGACATCTGAAGGTAGAAAGGCAGAACTTTTATAAAGTGAGCTATGAGAGTCTATTCATCTGTTTCATTTTCTCATTGTAGTAGTTTTGTAGTCGAAATGTTTCCATTGTAGCACTGCGTTTTTGTGTGGTCTGTAATTTGGATCATCTTGCTGCTCTTTATTTGGTTGGAAATCGAGTAGTTTTCCTGTTCTTGGCTGAATAGGTACCAACTGTTTTTGTAAAGTGAAACCTTCCATTTTCTAGAGAGAGAGAGAGAGAGAGAGAGAGAAAGTAGAACTTCTTTATTGTTTTTTAAGAAAACAACAGGCAAAAATGAACTCGACAAGGATCACATTATGACTATGAAACTGTGGTTTAAACAACCCTAAATAAAAAAAGAAGGGCGGTGTATAAAGGCAGATCCCTCGTGGCATTTCTGATCACTCCCTATAGAGGAAGGCCGTCTTCACCTGGGGATCCTCAGGTAGAGTGGTACCCAGTTAGCCTTCTCCGGGGAAGCGTCCCACACAGAGAAGCCACTAGTGGAGTTCATCCACTTTTTATTGATCTCTGGGTAGTGGCGGTTGATGACGTCCTTCAGGCTTTCTGTCTTGTTGACCCATTCAAACCCCTTCTTGGTGTATGCCTGCTCGTTGAAGTGACTTGTGAAGAATCTATCAGCTTGCAACCGCCTACAAGAGCAAATACCATATTTCACATCAGTGGGCTTCTAATGATCCCCATTTCTCGCTGGCAGGTGTCTCGTAAAAGGCCCAGAAAATGGGTTGGTTCAGAGAGAGAGAGAGAGAGAGAGAGGCTTAACCCATCTTCAGACTGTGTTCGAGCATAACATAAGATCCTGAATTGTAATATTAACAAACCAACTCGATGAATCTATGGGAGATTAGGTTAGTACTAGTACCTGGAGGCCATGATGAGAAATATGAAGAAGGCCGTCTCGCTTATCGCGAATCCCTTGATCTTCTTCTCCGCCATGAGACCCACGATGAGATCGAGCTTCTCCACATCGTCCCCGTAGACCTCTTTCAGGGTCTTTATGGCCTCGGCATTATCGGTCAAGTCTTCCCAGCTAGAAATGGGGATCATCAGCATACTCCTCCGGAACTGGTTGTATCTGGCGACCCCTCTCTCTCGATCACGGTACACTGCACAGTCAATAACAGCAAACCCTTCAGAAACCTAATCCCTAGACAAAAAAAATGAATAATCCAGAAACAAAAGAATTGTCCTACGATAGATTATATCGAGCATTACCTTCGAGAGTCGGAAGATCCACGTTATCTGGCCTCTCACTTCCGTCAGTGTTCTGCACGATGAGGTCCCTGAGGAATGTGGGGTAGTTCCAGAGCTCAAGCCCGCCGCAAGCTTGATGCCCCATGGACACTAGCTGTCTCTCGAATCCCACCTGGCTTAGAGTTTTCTCTCCTTTTATTCCAATCAGTTCCTCCATTTTGATACTGCTCATTGCAAAGAGAAATTACTCACAAAGTCAAGCAGCCATTGGACAATTCGGGCGCATCCAAAAGCTCTTACTTTTCATTAGGAAGGAGAGAGAGGGAGAGGGAGAGAGAGAGTTACTCTTTGAGTAGAGAGGGGGCCTTGTTGGGGCCCGGGGGGGCATTGATATTCCTGATTTGGAGGGTGTCCGGGAGGAGAGGATGCATCCTGTACACGCACGTGAACTCTTCGGTAAGGGAATAGGGGACACCGTGGTCGTTGGGCTCCTTGAGCCCCACGAGGCCACCCAAAGCAGGCCCCAGCGTGGCTCCTCCAACGTGGCCGAAGATGCTCTTGAACCTCTTCCCCAGGAGACCATACCTACGCGAGAGACGCCCACAAGTTCTTAGAATCATACGAGGAGCATCTATCATATGGATGTAGGATATACATAAACGTATGAAGCTGGACGTGAACATGAATACGATGGGGAAGGAGGGAGAAGAAGCCGCCCTCACCAGTTGGCATGCATGCCGGCATTCAAGGTGTCGGTCTTGAGGAGCTCCACAGTCCAGTCGATGGTGTGGATCTTGGCGATCACCGCCGACGTCACCAGCCTCGCATACTGGAACAACGTCTCGTCGTTGAACTCTGGGTGTTCCTTCTGCACGAGGATAGACCCAGCTCGTTAGCGTGACAATTAGCAAGAGGATGAGGATGATGATGATGAGGAGGAGGAGGAGGAGGAGTAAGAAGAAGAAGAAGAAGAAGAAGAAGAAGAAGAAGGAGAAGAGGGAAAAGAAGGGGTTGCACCTTGAGGGCGTCGCAGACGGCGTTGTGCTCCTTGACGAAGAGCGCCTGCAGGATCGAGACGCCGGCCCAGCTATTCTTTACGTCGCCACTGACGGCGCGGCCCTGCTCATCGTGGAGGAGAAGACCATCCTCCCCGATACTCAGCTTGCCGTCCACGAGCGTCCTTACCCGGGCCCCAACCACCTTGTCGCTCCCGTAGAGCACGCTCCCGTCCCTTCATTGCAGATTAGCCCCTGTTCATTTCTCCCTTTCCGTCTTTCTTAATATGGAGAACAATCGTATCTGAGATCTTCTTACCACCAGGAGGTTCGGATGTTCTTGTGGCCGGCTCGGATGCCCGTTGCAGCGTCCGTGGGGATACTATCCGTGCCGAGGAACCGGAAGGCCTTCAGCGGGCAGCTGTCAGCGATTTCTTTCGGCGCTGTCAGCTCGATCTACACGACACGGTAAGTCAGACTCACAGACATACATACACGAATACGGATATACACGTAAATATTTGTAACCTTCTTCTTATCTGGGAAGACGACACATTTATTTGGTTCGCCGAATACACAAGAAAAGTCAGAGTGCACGCAGAGGACCAATGTGCAATGATGCTGGTTTTGGCCGTGTTGCCGCTACTGGCCCCCAGGGTTTGTGACTTATGTGGGAGAATTCTAACACGGCTCTTCCCAATTATTTTTCTTCGGGAGCAATTCCGTTGATCAGCTTTTCTTAGAGAGATTGTATGTATACTGGATTAATTATTTTTTATAGATCTGGCGAGAGAGCGAGAGAGAGAGAGAGAGAGAGAGGTACCTGGCCGGTGGCCTCTAGGTGATCTATCCAATCGTGAACCATAAACTGGATCCAGGAGGCGGCGATCACGTTGAACTGCTTCCCCGTACCGATGAAGCTCTTCCTCTCCAGCAACTTCGTCGCCACCACGAACGGATCCGGGTCCATAAGCTGGCCGAAAGGTGATCGTCAATGGCGGAGATATGCGGAGGATGGGAGGTCAACAGGGGAGCCCCTCAATACCTTGCCCTGCTGGTCAACTGGGGGGACGTTCCTCCCGAAGAAGGTCATCTGACTGCCGGCAGCGGGCTTGGAGAGGTCAGTGAAGGTGCCGTCGTCGGAGCGGAAGGGGTGAGCGGGGGGGTTGGGGGTGACGGAGTCGATCTTGCCGACGGGGAGGAGGTTGTAGTTGTCGTGGAGGGTCCGGCGGAAGGCGAGGTAGACGAGGCCGAGGAACACCGGCAGCCGGTGCCACAACCCGTGCTTATCGACGCCATGCACCACCTGAGAAGAGAGAAAGAAAAAGAAACGGGTAGTGAGACTAGAAGTCGATCGATCTTCCGAGTACGGTGTGGAGGTGATGCGTCGATGACGTTCGTACCAGGAAGAGGATCTTGTGGCCAAAGCTCATCCTGTTGTACTCCGCCCGAAGACTCGGATGGACGAGGAAACTGAAGAGACCCATGGTGATAGTCTTCTCTCCCTCTCAGCCTGTTGTTCCTTTGCCGGATCGTGGAGTATCGATACGTTCTTCGATTCCTCGCATCCTCGCTATAAATAATAGTCTTCCAAGATCCTCTCTTTCTCTCTGTCAATTTGTACCTGTTCTCCTTTCACACGCTCTCTCTCTATATTCATCCTCTCTCTCTCTCACTCTCTCTCCACAGGACCACTTTGAAAAGTCGTGTGGACATGCAGCTGTCAAACTCGTCCCGTTCTGCTCGCTGCTCCCTCTCTCTCTGTTTCCAGAAGGGACTGTACCATGCCCTTGGCGATTCCTCAAGAAGATATCTAACCCTAATGCCTCACCGTTAATGACGTCGTTATTCATGTCCTGGCGGACTTCCGAGCGCCACGGATGGGGCTATTCAACCGAGCTGCGTCATCTACTGTTCTTCGTGAGAACATTCATCATGCCACCGGCAGCCATCATAAATTCCGCGTGGGTTGACGATAATATTTTTCTTTACCTTCATTGTGCCATGGAAAATAAAATTTTGAACCTAGAGAAAAAAAATCTAAACTTGGTCATGTGATTCCAGGTGGAACGCAGACGCATTTTTAACCCCGAAGTGTAAGAACACTCCACTGAAAATGATCGTCTGAGATTTCTGATCAGGCGAACGTTTCAAAACTTAGCATTATAACGGATATTTTTATTTAAATGCCAAATTTAGAATGTACACACTCCAAGTTTAGTTACTATTTACACCATTTTTTAGTCAGATGACGTGGTTTTCCATCAAGCTAATATGGTGTGGGATGATTAAAAAATACCATTAAGTTATATATAAATGTAAAGGAGACACCCTGCTCCTTGGATTTCTGTAAAATTCATGTTTGGGATTACATAAATGTAAATATTAATGGGCAGTCCAGGTGGCAGCTGATTTAAACTACGTCTACGAGAGCCGACTGGGAAGCGTCTGTATTTTCGTAATAAATGCCCTACTTTTGCTCAGGGCATACGACGTGCGTCCAATGAATAGTTCCGTGTGCGTCTGTCTATACTTGTCAAAGAAAATACGACTCTTATTTTGTCGGTGCAGATATTCATGAGGGAGGGAGAGAGAGAGAGAACCACATTTTTTTTTTCTAGTCGGTGGATGCCGCACGTGGAAAATAGGCCAGTTAGCAGACGAGGACGGGCCGCCACTATTGACGCGTGCACGTGTCTTTATTATAGAGGTTACATAGTTAGCGGTGGTGGCCGCGTGAAAAAAGGAGATAAGCCGCGAGAGCGAGATTGATCACCCGAGGAAGAGTCGAATAGTCGACGTTAGATACACAATGCCTCAAACCCATATATTATTATACCTCAAGACGGAAATAAAGGATGGGGATCGTTAAATATTTTGCTATGTTCAACCTCGAAGATTCTACTCGTTTAAGGTAAATTAATATTAAAAATATTATCTACATAAATCATAGCACAAAGTTTCACTTAATGGTACTCTAGGGTGAAATATTAAGATGATGATAAAAATCTTCACCATACTTATGTCAACGTTATCATATATATTGCAAAATGCTGTAAAAGCATCATATGAGAGAGAGAGCGAGAGAGAGATATGTGATAATGGCGAATACAATGAGTTATATTCTAGAGATGCTCTTATGTTAAATTCAATATATCGTCATCTAGTTTGGATATAAGTACAAAAAATCAAGTGTAACATGTCATGAAGTCTCCGAAAGTTTGAGAAATACAAAGTCACATTTAAGATTCAAACTTAGAACCTAAACAATAGGAAATCAAAAGCATCAATGAGAAAAACACTTGAAAAATCAAAGATTATGAAGTCATGTGCATGATTCAAACTTAGGATCTAAGTGATGAAAAGATGGAACCCTCAACAACTAAAGTATCTGAAAATTGTATTCAAAATAATATCTTGTAGGTTTCAAAATTGGAACCTAAATGATAACATGTTTGAAAGTTAAGAGCATAATTATAGATAAATACCAGAACACTAATGTTTTCGACAAGATTCAAACTTGAAACTAATGTAACAACAAATTTGAAGTGCTTGTGTGAAATCAACAAAAAAGTCACTACAGGGGAGAAGTCTTTGCCAATGCATTATGGATGGTGACACATCAACAAAACACATGGAGAAACGACATAGCAAATGGATTCATTTAGACTCTACCCTAGAAGTAAAGATAAATCATTGACAAATCATGAATCTCAAGACCAAGTTTCAAACATAACTAATGTGAGAATAACAAGCCTCAAAGTAAGGAATAAGTAAATACCATGGTCACTACTATGAACTATAATACATCGGTAGAATGTGTGGAGATAACAACAAGTTTAACAACATTATTTGAGCGTGACCTTAAAAGTAAAAATTTACTTTGATAAACTATGGATCTCTAGAAAAATTGAATAACAACTTTCAAATGAAAGAACAAGAAAAGGTCACTAACACACTAGTGGAGCAACGAGAAGAGATTTGAATCTGCATGACCATTTATAGATGATGAAAAGACATGAGATCATTTGCTAGAGAGAGAGAGAGAGAGAGTAGAACTTCTTTGTAGTTTTTAAGAAAACAACAGGCAAAAGTGAACTTGACTATGAAACTGTGGTTTAAACAACCCTAAATAAAAAAAGAAGGGCGGTGTATAAAGGCAGATCCCTCGTGGCATTTCTGATCACTCCCTAGAGAGGAAGGCCGTCTTCACCTGGGGATCCTCAGGTAGAGTGGTACCCAGTTAGCCTTCTCCGGGGAAGCGTCCCACACAGAGAAGCCACTAGTGGAGTTCATCCACTTTTTATTGATCTCTGGGTAGTGGCGGTTGATGACGTCCTTCAGGCTTTCTGTCTTGTTGACCCATTCAAACCCCTTCTTGGTGTATGCCTGCTCGTTGAAGTGACTTGTGAAGAATCTATCAGCTTGCAACCGCCTACAAGAGCAAATACCATATTTCACATCAGTGGGCTTCTAATGATCCCCATTTCTCGCTGGCAGGTGTCTCGTAAAAGGCCCAGAAAATGGGTTGGTTCAGAGCGAGATAGCACACTTCCAAGTAAGGAACGGTGGGGGTTTGACTTACAGGCCTAAAGCCCAAAAGAAAATCGGAATGAGCCCAGGCCAAGCTCAGGGCTCACCCCATCCATGGACATCCACACAAGGGTTATCATTCGACGGGATGATTCCGAAAGTCTCAAGGCTTAACCCATCTTCAGACTATTCTCGAGCATAACATAAGATCCTGAATTGTAAGATTAACCACCCAACTCGATGAATCTAGGGGAGATTAGGTCAGAAGTAATACCTGGGAGCCATGATGAGAAATATGAAGAAGGCCGTCTCGCTTATCGCGAATCCCTTGATCTTCTTCTCCGCCATGAGACCCACGATGAGATCGAGCTTCTCCACATCGTCCCCATACACCTCTTTTAGGGTCTTTATGGCCTCGGCATTATCGGTCAAGTCTTCCCAGCGAGAAATGGGGATCATCAGCATACTCCTCCGGAACTGGTTGTATCTGGCAACCCCTCTCTCTCGATCTCGGTATACTGCACAGTCAATACGAGCAAACCCTTCAAAAACCTATTCCCTAGGTAAAAAATGTTGTACGACAGAATATATAGACCATTAACCTTCAAGAGTCGGAAGATCCACTTTATCTGGCCTCTCACTTCCGTCACTGTTCTCCGCGATGAGGTCCCTGAGGAATGTGGGGTAGTTCCAGAGCTCCAGCCCGCCACAAGCTTGATGGCCCATGGACACTAGCTGTGTCTCGAATCCCAGCTCGCTTAGAACTTTCTCACCTCTAATTCCAATCAGTTCCTCCATTTTGATCCTGCTCATGTAAAAGAGAGAATACCCATAAAGTCAACCAGCGATCGGACAATACGGGCACATTCAAAGCCCTTGTTTTCATTAAGAGGAGAGAGAGAGAGAGAGAGAGAGAGAGAGAGAGAGAGAGAAGAGAGAGAGAGGTTACTCTTTGAGTAGAGAGGGGGCCTTGTTGGCGCCCGGGGGTTCATTGATGTTCCTGATTTGGAGGGTGTCCGGGAGGAGAGGATGCATCCTGTACACACACGTGAACTCTTCGGTAAGGGAATAGGGGACACCGTGGTCGTTGGGCTCCTTGAGCCCCACGAGGCCACTCAAAGCAAGCCCCAGCGTGGCTCCTCCAACGTGGCCGAAGATGCTCTTGAACCTCTTCCCCAGGAGCCCATACCTACACCAGAGACCCACAAATTCTTAGAATCATATGAGGAGCATCCATGTTATGGATGTAGGATATACATAAAACGTATGAATCTGGACGTGAACATCATACGAGGGGGAAGAGAGAGGGAGAGAAAGCCGTCCCCCACCAGTTGCCATGCATGCCGGCATTGAGGGTGTCGGTCTTGAGGAGCTCCACGGTCCAGTCGATGGTGTGGATCTTGGCGATCACCGCCGACGTCACCAGCCTCGCATACTGGAACAACTTTTCGTCCTCGAGCTCCGGGTATTCCTTCTGCGCGAGGATAGGCCTCAGCTCGTTAGCGTCACAATTAGCAAGAGGATGAGGATGAGGATGATGGATAATGACGAGGAGAAGGAAGAGGAGGAGGAGGAAGAGGAGGAGGAGGAAGAAGAAGAAGAAGAAGAAATAGAAGAAGCGGTTGCACCTTGAGGGCGTCGCAGACGGCGTTGTGCTCCTTGACGAAGAGCGCCTGCAGGATCGAGATGCCGGCCCAGCTATTCTTTACGTCGCCACTGACGGCACAGCCCTGCTCATCATCAAGGAGAAGACCGTCCTCCCTGATCCTCAGCTTCCCGCCCTGGAACGTCCTCACACGCTCCGCGGCCCACTTGTCGCTCCCGTACAGCATGCTCCCGTCCCTTCGTTGCAGATCAGCCCCTCTTCATTTCCTCCTTTCTTTCCTTCTTAATATGGAGAACAATCGAATCTGCGATCTTCTTACCACCAGGAGGTTCGGATGTTCTTGTGGCCGACTGGGATAGCCCTTGAGGCGCCCACAGGGATGCTCTTTGTGGCGTAGAACCGGAAGGCCTTCAGTGGGCAGCCACCAGCGACTTCTTTCGGCGCCGTCAGCTCGATCTACACGGCCACGGTAAGTCAGACTCATACACATACATACACGAATACATATACATACGTAGACATTTGTAGCCTTCTTCTTGGCTGGGAAAGACAACAGATTTATTTGGTTCGCACAACAAAAGTCTGAATGCATGCAGAGGGACCAATGTGCAATGACGCCGGTTTTGGTCGTATTGCCCTACTCGGCCCCGGGGTTTGTAACTTATGCGGAAGAATTCTAACGCATGACTCGCTCTGCGTGCAATTCCGTCCACTGCATCGCGCCAAGGCTCTTCCCAATTATTTTTCTTCGGGAGCAATTCCGTTCGTCAGATTTTTCCTTTAGAGATGTGATGTATACTGGATTATTTATTTTTTATAAATCTAGAGAGAGAGAGGGTACCTGGCGGGTGGCCTCTAGGTGGTCTATCCAATCGTGAACCATGAACTGGATCCAGGAGGCGGCGATCACGTTGAACTGCTTCCCCGTCCCGATGAAGCTCTTCCTCTCCAGCAACTTCGTCGCCACCACAAACGGATCTGGATCCGTAAGCTGGCCCAAAGGCGTGTCAACAGCGGATACAAACAGAGTGGGAGATCAACGTGGGAGCCGCTAGCTACCTTTCCCTGCTGGTCAACAGGGAGAATATTCCTCCCGATGAAGGTCATCTTGCTGCCGGCTGCGGGCTTGGAGAGGTCAGTGAAGGTGCCGTCGTCGGAGCGGAAGGGGTGGGCGTCGGGGTTGGGGTCGACGGAGTCGATCTTGCCGACGGCGAGGAGGTTCTGCCTGTTGTAGATGATCCGGCGGAAGGTGAGGTAGGTGAGTCCGAGGAACACCGGCAGCCTGTGCCATAACCCCAGCTTGTCGACGACATGCACCATCTGAGAAGAGAGAGAAAAAGAAATGGATCGTGCGACTAGAAATCGATCAACCTTCAGACTACGGGCTGGCGCTGATGCGTTGATGACGTTCTTACCAGGAAGAGGATCTTGTGGCCAAAACTCATCCTGTTGTACTCCGCCCGGAGGCTCGGGTGGACGAGGAAACTGAAGAGAGCCATGGTGGTAGTCCTCTCTCTCTCTCTCTCTCTCTCTCTGCCTCACACACACACACACACACACACACACACACAAAACCTGTTCCTTTGTCGAGTCGTGGAGTCTCGATACGTTCTTGCATTCCTCGCATCCTCTCGCTATAAATACTAGTCTTCCAAGATCCTCTCTCTCTCTCCGTCCCTCCCTTCTCTGAGCCGAGCTATTAATTTGTACCTGTTCTCCTTTCACACGCTCTCTCTCTACATTCATCCTCTCTCTCTCTCTCTCTCTCTCTCTCTCTCTCTCTCTCTCCATGGAGCCCCTTTGAGAAGTCGTCTGGACATGCTGCTATCATACTCTCTCCTTCTCCTCGCGTCTCTCTCTCTCTCTCTCTCGCGCTCGCTCCCTGTCCAGCCGGGGACGTGCCAGGCCCTTCCCCATTCCCCAAGAAGATATCAAACCCTAATGCCTCACCGTTAATAAGGCCGTTATTCATGTCCTGGCGGGCTTCCGATCGCCGTTGATAGGAGAAGCTATTCAACCGAGCTGTGTCATCTACTGTTCTTTCTGAGAACCTTCATCATCCCACCGGCCGCCATCATAATTCCGTGTGGGTGACGATAATAAAATAAATAAATATCTTTCATTGTACCGTGCAAGATAAAAGTTTTATTCTAGGGGAAAGTTCTAAACTTGGTCATGTGATTCCAGGTGGAACGTAATCCCATTTTTAATCCCAAAGTGTAAGAACACCACCACTGAAAATTATCGCCTGAGATTTCTAATCAGGTGGACGTTCCAAAACTTATCAAGATTTTCTGGTTAGGGTTTCGTGCCTTTCCCCAAACCATTCCTTAAATAGTAAGGGAAACAAAATTTATATTTTACCGTGGGAACAATGAGCCTTCTATTTAGTGGAGAACGAAAAAAAAAAAATCAGAATCTCAAAAAGCACCCAAAAAAACTCCGAAAATAATTACAGCCCGTTAACGATGGAGGCCACATGTCCTTTTTAAGCCCATTAATTTGTCATTGAACGACTTAGGGCAGGACCATGAATCTGACTAGGCAACGAAATGATTGGACCCTCAAACTCCAACCGCCTCAACGTTAAATGTACAGCCGGCCCCGGCCCATTTACAAGCTGCTTGCCTCAGCCCGGCCTACGACCGAATCAGGGGGGCGGAGGAGAGAGAGAGAGAGAGAGATAAGATTTGTTAATGGGTCCCACATGCACCACCAACGGCTAGGTCTGGGGGCCGGGGTGCCTTCACCACCATCGTCGAAGCTTCATCGGCGGGGAGCCAATCTCCGGCGTCTGCACCTTCTAACGTACTGTCAGGAAGCCAAGAAATCCCCTCCTCTCCCTCATTCACTATCTCTCTCTCTCAAAACTCAATAAAATATGGGCGAAGGGGAAATTGGAGAATATGAACAGGAAGTAGGAGATGAAGATTTTACCGGCCACAAGCGGTAACGACTGGGGAGAGATGACCTTTTACGAGGACCAGTATCTGGTTGTCGTTTAGGAAGGCGACAAGCTTGGCGCTTTCGCGGTGCTGCTGCGAAGCTTCCTTGATTCCGCACCCTTTCTCTCTCTCTCTTAACGATAATCATCTCTCGGTCTCTGTCTTGCTCTATCTCCTTCCCATCATGACGCCAGTTTTCCACTGGGTTTCAGGTTAAGCACGCCACTTAGCGTCTGATAGCTCTGCCAGCATTCCCAATCCAAATACGCCGTCACTTCTCTCTCTCTCTCTGTCTCGTTATTAAAGCACCTTGTGAACTCCAGAGAAGTACGGCAATGCCCAGCATCTCGCGGGGAGTTTCCTTTCCGTTGAAAGAATCCTAAGCTCCAGTGTCTTGTCCACCATCTCTGTAATCTCTGCCATCCACGTCTTTCTCGTCCTCTCTCTCTCTTAACGATCAGGCTCTCCATCTCTATCTATCCATTTGCCCATGTCAATCTCCATTACTCTCTCTCTCCCCTTTGTCCAGACACGGCAGAATATTTCCATGACCCTTCGTTCTCTATATAAGCTCCTCCGTGCCTCCATCATTCCCTCCGTGCTCTCTCCTTCACACTTCCCACACAAGTCTCTGCAGCGAGAGAGAGAGAGAGAGATGGATGGCCTGATGTCTTGCACGCCCACTTTACCACCTCAGCTCTTCTCTTCCGTGGCGATGGCGACCGCCAACTTCCCCATGCAGCCGACCCCTCTCACTCTGAAGCACCGCCTCCAGTTCCTCCTCCACACGCTACCCGACTGCTGGGCCTACGCCGTCCTCTGGCGTCTCTCCTCCTCCTCTCCCCCCGACGGCCGCCCCTTCCTCTCCTGGTCCGACGGCCACCTCCGCGGCGGTGCCGCCGCTTCCAGCAGCCGCACCAGCAGCAGCAGCAACAGCAACAACAACAACAACACCAACGACGAAGCCTTCCTCTTCAACACGCTGGACAAGAAGAAGCTCACCGGCGGCGCCGCCGCCGAGGAGGTCGTCACCGACATCGAGTGGTTCTACCTTGTCTCCCAAGCCCGCTCCTTCCCCGCCGGCACCTCCGCCGGCGCCGGCGACCAGCCCATCCCCTCCCGGGCCTTCGCCAATGGAGCCCACATCTGGCTTTGCGGAGCCCACGAGCTCCAGGTCTACGGCTGTGACCGCTCCCGTGAGGCCCTCCTCCACGGTGTCACCACCATTGTCTGCATCCCCACCGCCGACGGGGTCCTCGAGCTGGCCTCTGCGGAGGTAGTCCGCGAGGATTGGACCGTAGTCCAGCAGGCCAAGGCGCTCCTGGGTCACTTCCAACCACTCGGCAGCGGCGGCGCCGACGCTGCAGCCAAGCCCAAGAAGGAGGAACTCGGCGGCGGCGCCGCGGCGGTGGGGCTGATGTCGTCGCTGGACTCAGAGCATTCCGACTCGGAGGGGCGGCGACCGAAGAAGAGAGGACGGCGGCCCGGCCCCGCCGGTGACGCCCCGGCGAGCCACGTTGAGGCCGAGCGGCAGCGGAGGGAGAAGCTGAACCACCGGTTCTACGCCCTACGTTCGGTGGTTCCCAACGTCTCCAGGATGGACAAGGCTTCCCTGCTCGCCGACGCAGTGGCCTACATCAAGGAGCTGAGGACCAGGGTGGGGGAGCTGGAGCAGCTCCGGCGGAGGACTCCGCCGCAGGCGGCGGCGGCGGTTGTGGCGGAGGGTTTGGAGGGAGGAGGGACGATGGAGGTGGAGGTGAGGGTGGTGGAGGGGGGGGAAGCGATGGTGAGGGTGACGGCGGCGGCGGAGGGACGTGGGCATCCAGCGGCGAGAGTGACGGCGGCGCTGAAGGAGCTGGACATGAAGGTGCACCACGCGAGCATGACGACGGTGAAGGGAGTGATGGTGGTGGACGTGGTCGCCGGTGCCCCCACGGGGCTCCTCTCTGAGGAGGCCCTGAAGGGCTCTCTCATCGCCATGCTCGAGAAGCAGCAATCCTAGGAGAGGAAGAGGGGAGCAGGGCCTGTAGTTCCTTCGTCTTCGTCCACCTCTGGTCGTCGATGACGGAGAAGGCAACCCTGGAAGAGGAAGAGGGAGGGAGCCACAAACACCTTCAGATCTCCTTGCCCTCGTCTCCCTCAGCTGGTGTTTCCGCTGTGCCATGTACATCGGCAGCATCAAGCCCCACGGGATCTAAAATCTTCTCTGCTCGTCCCATGTACAAATTTGGGCCTTCGTAATCGGCAACATTCCATTTTAAGCTACTTGTTCGTAGCATTTCTAGGCTTGTCAAGGGTACGAACAAATATTGGCAATATTTTGCAAAGCTGGTGTTATGTTTCCGAATAAAAGCCTAGAAAAGCATTATAATTGCTTTTCATATTTATACATATGTATTTATCTAATATCACAAGCATCATTGGAGGTGCCTATTTCAATATTACATTTCTGCCTGCAGTCAACAAGCATGCTTGACATTATTAACCCTTGCAGCCAAAACATACGACCTTTTTCTGGGAATCTCAATTAGTAATTAAAGAATAAAAAGTAGTGTCATGAGGACAGCTGATTTGAACATTTCATAGTATGACCACATGATTGGGATAATGACTCGCTTGACTCGCAACCAAGGTTACAAATAAAATAGGGTATTGTGGAAAGTATTCTTAATATTTTGTTTTTTGTGTTTTTAAAATGCTGCTAAAATGATTAAATCATTTACCCCATCTCTCTGCTCAATGATTAATGCTAAATTTAAGCAATTTGAATATGAGCTAAGATATTGGATAGCATTATTCTAAATTTTATGAAATTATCAAAGTGTTTTGATTCAAGGCATATCATCATATGAGAATGAAGTTATATTATTTTATAATTAATCAACAATTATAAGAAAAATCAGATAAATTTTACATGTCCATTCAATGAATGAACTAAGTAATGCATTGTTGTAAGGGGAGATCCCCTGGATTAAGGGGTTGCCCAACCATGAAAGGCACATTGTATTCATGAGGGAAAAAATGTGCTTCTGCAGCTCCTCTTGTCATGCATACATTGCAGTGTGCTGCAATGTATGCATGACAAGAGGAGCTGCAGAAGCACATTGAACTTGTGTCATGCAAACAATTATGAGAGCGATCAATAAAGATATAAAGGATGTAGCACAATCTTCTATAAGGAAGGAGAATAGTCAAGTAGGAAATTATGATATTGGTGAGATGAGAAAGAAGGGAGAGTAGGGGGGTTGAGAGAGACTAGGAATATGGTGGGTTCAATGGACTTCACCCATGTTCCTCTCTTGTTACCATCTAATATACACAATGTTGAACTCAAATTTCTTCATTAATTACTCCCTAATGATATAGATTACACCATTCATATATTACCTATATGACACAATGGTAAGTTACATTAAAAAATTAATAAAGTTAAAGGAGTAATCAGATTAGTAATTAATTTATAAAATAAAATATCTTTCAATTTTTACATAAATTTAAATAAATTATGTTGGGTTCTATGTTATTAAGTACTAAGAGAGAGGGTGAATTGGTTCCCTACATGTATCTTTCTTTTTTTAACTGTGCATATGTGTCGACACATGTTCCAACATAATTTATCTAATTTATATGAAACTTGACTTAAACTTTTCCTTTTACTACAAGGTCGATCAAATTTATTTCTCTCACTCATGATAGTAATAGACACCAATATTTTATTTAATTCACACTTCCTTATACTAAGTCTAATACTAAAGAATCTTCCTACCATATTTTTACTATTTCTAACAAAAATACACTTAACTTCATATGCTCAGCTCTCCCAATACAACTATTCGATCTTCCCACATATCCACACCTCATGGACAGGTCTTGACTAATAGCACCACGTACTTAAGTCAATGTATAATTCTCCTCAAAGAATAACACTTTTTATGGGTAGATTCCACCTCTCTTCACCTCGTGCTTTAGTCTTACTTTCTCTCCACTAACCACTCAAGTTACCTTAGGGCATGATGGAGAGAGATAAGCTTTAAAATAGCTTTTTGATTCTTAAGTGTCAGAAATCATTAAGTAAGATGAAGTTTTAAATCTTTTCATTGAGATGCATGATTGATTTATTATAGAAAGTTGACTTGATCTTATTCTTGAGCTGATGTAAATGATATGAATGATTGTTTCTTTGTTTAACGTTAACTTTGGTTTGCCCTCAGCTCATCCTTCTTATACTTTGATAGATCCATGTCATTTTAGTATTTGAAAATAATCATATTAATTTGAGATATTTTCTTATTCCTATATGTGCGTTTCAATGACCTTCAGCTGCTTTTCATTTTTAAGGTTTCTTTTCTAGTTATGACTTTTCATGATATCTTGTCTAGAGATTTGCAACTGATCAACAAACACTTCTTCTTTCAAGATCTTATTTAAAAGAGAATGTTTAACTTGTCTTTAGTCTACATCTTTTGTTAATGAGTTACCATCTAGAATCTAGGCTTCTAACCTTCAGTTATACATCAGCTTACAACTTTTTGCTCATAGATATGTCATTCTTGATATTATGTTTAAATATCCTCACCTAATCAACAAATGTTGTCTTCAAGGTGAAGTTAGGATAATACTATTGAGCTTGTCATTTAATTCACGAACTCTGATGGCATGTTAATATCTAAAGTGTATTGGGCTGATCTTAAGTTTTTAATTACTTCAAGACATGTAGGTCTCTCATAAGTAACTTTTTACAATTCTATTTAGAGATTTATATTTCTTCAACAGTTGATGTTGCTCTTGATACTAAGTTCAAGTTTAGTCATTTCTATTGTGTCATTTTCTTCATAGGACTCTAACGTATCACCATATAAGTTATGTGACAACAATTTCTCCATCTTCTTCTTTGCTTCATGTGAACGGTCTAACTTAGTTATCTTGTGGGTCTTAGGTTTGAATCCTACTTTAGTCACTGATCACATATTTTTATTTTAAATATTTTGACTAAATTTTTATATTGTCATTATAGTGTTCTTGATTTCAAATTTTGCCCATGTTTAGATTTGAATATTTCTGTTGTCATTTTTCTAATTTCTACAATGTTTTCTTCTTGAGTTTGAATCTCATGTCTTCTATTATGTATTTTTGATATTTCAGATATTTTTTACATTAGTGTTCCTTTCTTTACATTGCTCAAGTGCCATGTTCAAACCTTGTTAATGACTTTAATTTTTCAAAAAAAATGTGACTTTAATGTGTTGGCACATGTTAGGTTGTACTTTTATTCAAAAATTACATTGTATTACTTTAATACAAATGATATATTAAGGGTGTGACTCCTTAGATTTGTTGTTAGTCATAAGATTGCATAGAACATCATCAATGAATATAATTTGAATGTTTGTTAATCATACTTGTCTCGTAATGAGAATAATCATGATGCCTATAGATGAATTATGATTTAGCTTATTCAAGAATAATTCATAAATAAATTTTCTATGTGTCAAAGCCCATTGTGTGTCAACACTAAAGGCATTTACAAACTATTAGGAAAACTCTAAATATTTAATATAAAATGAATAATTATGCTTCTAATCATGATTTTTTTATAATGATCTTCATTGAAGAAATTAAAAATCACTAAAAATGTCTAAAGAAATGGGTTGAATTAATAGAAGAGTTAATCTAAATTACTATTGTAAGTGTTGCAATATAAATAATAGTTGATGTATGTGATTTTGATATTCAAAAAAAAATTATTTATTGAATACTCAATGAATTTTATGAGAGCTTGTATTAAGAGTTTAATATTTTTGAGAATTATTCAGTATGTATAATGTTAATACTCTTATGGTCTAACAAAATATGAAAAACATCAACAAGTATCAAACCTGAAATTTTGACAACAATACATCAAAAGCCTCAATGAAGAAATACCTAGAAAATCACAAATCCAACTCAAAATTTGGACGACAACAAGTTGAAAGTCTCAATGAAGAAATATTTGACAATATTTGACAAGATATTCAAGGCAATGGTAAGTATCTAACTCTAAATTTAGACAATGACTTGTCAAAACCTTAGTGAAGAAATACATAGAAAGTCATGAAGTGTCAAAGGCACCAGAAAATATCAAACTCAAAATCTAAAGAATGTCACAATGGAAGCTTTTATGAAAAGGTATCTAAAAAATCATAAAAAAAGGAAGAGGTTGTCAATGTATTCTAAAGAGTGATATGTCTACAGATTATGTGGAGACAACAATGAATTAAATGAGCTTATTTCAACTCACCCTCAACAAAAAAATGTTATTTGATAAAAAATGAATATATAATTCAAGTTTCAAATTAAATAGATGAGATAATAAAAAAATTTGAAGCACTAAACATGCAAAGGTCATCAGAATGTATTTTGGACTAAGAATTCAATTCGTGTGACCATTTTTCAAGACTAGAAATGACATGTGAATGTTGAAGATAAAAAGAAAAGAGCTTGTTAAGAGAAACGAATGCTATCTATGCTCCAACGAATATCTTTCACTCTTTATCATAATTCAGCCACTATGAGTTTCAACGAAGAATAAAAAGCTACGTCAATTCTTTATTTGTCATTAATGATTCAAAAAAATATTTTTCTCAAAATGTGATGCTCTCTATCAAGCCTTAAAGTACTTGGGTGGTGAGAGCAAAGGTATTTTGGCTAAAGCACATGATGTTGAGAGCTTGGTTGTGTTCATAAAGGCCGAGGTTTCTAAGGAGATTGAACTAGGGTGATTGAGATGTTGATCCATTTAAAATCAATGTGTCTTTCTAAGTGGAAATAGTAAACTCCAACAAGAAGGATCCTCCAATACTAGAACTAGCTAAGTAATAGGTAAATCAGTATATAAATCATTGGTGTCCTTGATAGTGAAGAGAGAATCATGAGAAAACTCATATTATTTATATTGAGAGAAAGAGAATGATGGGAATCAAAGCTGTCATGTCATCAATGTTTGCCACATTAGTAGAGGCTACC